TATTGCAGAGTTTGTAATTGCAGTCCTAAGTGAGATTGGCCTAGTTTTTCCCTATGGTACTATCCTTTTGGTTTCAAATTTGGGGACTCTCGTTGCCTGACTTTGGAAGTGTTTGCCACACTCTCTGGGACTGTAGAGAGAGGCCATCTTAATTAGGCTGCGGGAATAAAGACCTTATTTTTCTATTAAAGATTCAAGGAGTCTGTGTAATTATGATTCAGCATATATTCAGACTAGGCCCACTGTAGGAATTCTTACCATTCTCTAGAAAAAGCCTATTTCGCATAAGTGTAGAACTGTTTGGTGGTCTGTTCATAGAATTCTGTGATAAGCTTGTAAAGACATCATTCTATCCATTGTCATGATGACCTTTTCCTCCTGAAGCTGTCAGTGAGGATGCTCTGGTCATCTCTCTCCCTCTCCACCCCATCAGAGGTTTGCTGATTTGTCTTTTCAAAGAAGTAGTTTTGAATGTATTAAGTCTCTTTGATATTATTCTGTTCTATAGCCCATTCATTTTTTTTATTTGTATTGCAACTTCTCCGCTTTTGTGAGCATATTTTTGACATTTTACTTTTTTTCCAGTGCTGGGGAATCAAACCCGGGGCAAGCATTATTGTTATGCATACCTAGCATTATGGGCTATAATCCCTGCCTGCCTTTGGATTTATTTTTGTTTTTTGCTGTTATTGGTGTGTTGAGGCAAGATCGGGCTAGTAGCCCAGACTTGGACTTGCCACTCCCTGTCATTCTCAGCCTCTGGGAGTTCTGCAATACAGGTATGCATCACCATGCCTGGCCTTAAGCTGAGACTTTCACTTTTAGATTCCCACCTTTTCTTTTTCCTAATGAATGTATTTTCAGCTGTTTTCCTCTAATTAGTGTTTTAGTTATCCTCACAAGTTTTTTTGTAATGTTCTCAGAGTTACATGCTCATAAATACTTATAATTTCCATTGCAATTCTTTTCTTTGACCTGAATTATTCCAGATGTTTCTTAACCTTTTACTACGTAGAAGCTTTTGTTTGCAATGTGTGAGAGATCCTGATCATTTGAAACTGCCCGCGATTTACACCGTATCAAGGACTCTGTCACCTGGCACAGTCAAAGGATAGGGCTCAGATGGTATGGGAAGAAAGGATTCTACTCAAGAGACAGTGACCATGCACACCGGCATCTGCCTGAGACATCCACAAGCCAGACATCAGGGAACAGTGGAGCAGAGTGCTGGAAAGAAGGCTCTCCTCACCCACCACAGGCCTGTGATGGAAAACGTACAGCAAAAGACAAGCTAAGGAGACAAAAGCACACAGACTTATCTCCTACCAGCTTTATGTGGTGTAAGAGCTGACAGGAATAAGAAACTCACAGAAGCAGGGGGACCGGGCTGAGCTGTCCATTCAGACAGTTGTGCTGGAATATGACTGGAGAACTAAGGGTTGTTTGTTCCTAACAGTAACAGAAAGTCAGCAAGACCAGTTGGATCCAGTTCCTCCGGAATCCCCATACTTTCCATTGCCTCATATAAGGAGGATTCTTCTGGAATGAAGATGCTATGACCTACTTTAGAGAGCAGAGATTCTTTTGTGGCCGATTCAAGAAAGCAAGGAGTGGGATGGTGAAAGTGACCATCTGACCTCCGACCGCCAATTTCTCAAGTGTTCAGATACCCTATTAGGGGGTAGCATGTCCTGGATCCCATCAAAAGCAAACATGAGCCAGGGAGCTACAGCTACCAAGGAAAGCTCATGGTAGGAGCCACAGGAAGCCATGGTCAGGGTATCCCAACCTGAAAGCGTGAACTATAGTTCTTTTGTGATCAAAACATGATGTAGTCTCTCACCGTCCTGGGAACCATGTAGCCTTCCATCCCTGGGCCCACACTACACCTGTAGAAAGTTACAGGTGTGCTGACACTGTCGCTTCTGCCCATCAGCCAGTTCCTCTGTCAACTCTCAAGACACGTAGTGCACCTCCGTGCCACCCTCCCCGGGAGCCTTCCCTGCCAAGGCTTCTGCATGGGTTCTCTTGAATCCGCATGCTAATCATGAGGGACCCTGCCAGCCCCCAGCATTCATCCAGGGGAGGACGAACTCAGTCCCTCATCGGGAACATTCCGGCTCCTTCCTACACCAGAGCTCCACACTCCGGGCTGTACTCAGTTCACAATGGTTATTATAAGGCAGAATAGTGAGCTCATGGTCAGAAGCAGTTGTGAAGTGCTGCTGAGTCTAAGAGCAGCAGTGAGTATTCACTTAATGGTGCTCAGAAACAGAGTCTGCTCCAAGGTGACTCTCCTCAAATGCTGCTAGAAACTGCCAGCGCCGGTGACAGGTCCCCAGTGTGGATGGCATCGTTTTTAAAACGAAGCTTCCAAGCAGAGTCTGGGGTTGGACTCACGGTTCCACATGACGAGCTCCCGGGAGAGAGTGATGCCCAGAGATCACACACCCATGGGTGCAAACACACAGGAACACACAAACTGCTCACCCCCTGGGATCTACCCACCATCCACTCAGCTCTGACTTCTCCTATTCTCACACCGTGAGTGACAGGTAGGACTCTGTGAAGGGTTGCCATCCAGCCATTCATAAAGTCCTCCCCAGGCCATAGTTCAGGCCAGCCTGCAACCATGTCTGAAGCTCATAGGAACTGAGCTGGGCCAACAGAGGTTAGGCCACAGCTGTTGCTTCTGCCACAGGAGCTGTGGGGGCAGAGTAAGAGAGGAGTGGACCCTGTTGTCACCTTCTATGTAGGCAATGTGAGTGCAACCCAACCCTGAGCACTCTATGTGCCCATCCGTCACCCTAGAGCCAGGCTTCAAAGGCACTGACCTGGAATGACTTCCCACTCCTTGACTAGAATCTAGAATACTCCTGAACCATGGTTGGGCCCGGACCCTACACACTAACAAGACTTGATGGAGCCCTCCTGGCATCAAGGTGCTGTCTAGAAACTTGCACTAGAGAAGATACAGTCTGTGACAGGCTCCACCTTAGGACAAGAGCATGGGTGAGGATGTGCTCTGAAACTGCATCAATTCCATCTGACTTGTTTGTTCTCACCGCAGCTCCATGAAGTCAGAGTGCAGGCTGGGTTAGAACTACAACCAGAAGAGATGTGACTGGCCCGATGGTCCACCCTGGAGTCCAATCTCCTGACTCAAATCTCCTTGGTGGCCAGTAGGAATCTCCTCACAATTTGGGAGCAGGTGTTGTCCCATTGTGGGCTGACAATGATTGGGAGATGCTGGGGTATGGTAATTAGTCCCCAATAGTAGTCACTGCCTGGACAGGGAGGCCTGCGCTAATTGCTGTACTTAGTGGTCTGCTTTCTATAGTCTTTGGCTACTCTTCCGCTTTGAACACAAAGTTATCATGAAGTAACTCCCCCACAAGTGATGGAGGCTAGGATACAGACTGAGATAGAAGCCATACCCTTCTCCCGGCTATGTCCCTCCAAAGACCGCTCCACATGCCAAGTGTTGTAGAGAATATTTATTTTAGTCAGCTCCAACAGATGTCAGGGACCTCCAGGAACATCCAATCTGGACATCCATTCAAGTGCACTCCTGTGTAGCCATGGCGTGTGGGGGAGGGTTATCCCTTCTGCTTTTACCACCCCCAATATGTAAGGATCTGAGGCCTTGGGCATCCATTATTGATCCAAGGAGCCAGCCCACAGCCTAACTCAATGCATCCCTGGCCCAACTCACATGGACTCCCCTCACACACCTCCCACCACCACCCCAACCTCCAACATTTATTCCATCAGCCAGTTGACAAGTGTTTTCCTGAGAGATAGGAGCCAAGCCCTGTGCTAGACCCACTTGGGGTTGAAGAAGAAATGATAGCCCCTGGCCCTCAGGGAGCTCACAATCTATTTGGGGATTTGAGGTGCTCATGTGCACACACAGAACATACACATACACATACACATACACATATACAGAAGAATCGAGCACAACACTAAACAGCACATAGTACTTACGGGAGACACCGGGTGTTAACGTGAGTACTGCTCAGAGGGAGCACAGGCAGTGTGGGCTGGGGTCTCAGCCCTGGTGAATTAGGGGGCTTTGGGAGTGGGGGAAGAAGAAGGTTTCAGTGCATTATAGGGGAAGGCATGGCACAGTTACAGCAGGGAAGATACAAGCTGGGAAGTTAGCTGAGGGGCATGGTGAGGGCTCCTCTAGATTAACCAAGGAAACAGGTGCATGGAAGCTCCTGGAGTATGGGGACTGCCTCCCCTTTCTCAGATTTCTTTGAGCACTCAGTGACCCCAGAATAAGGCATAGGGGTTCAATAAGAACCTGTAACCCAAACTGCGTGGGGGATACAGGTAGTTAGACCCCAGGTTGGGAATCCACAGGTTTCTATCAAGCCCTAGTAGGAAAGGAACCCCCCCTTCCTAATGAGTGGTTCATTCTGGGGAAGAAGAGAAACATCTGTGGCCTCCCAGCTGACCTGCTCTTGTATGAAGACAGGAGTCCTTGGCCAACAGTGACCCACAACCCACACCCCTTACTTCTTACCCCTGCTTACTTAAAGGACACACACAACTCCTCCACTTGCGTCTCCCTTTGCCTAGACCCACGGGTACCATGTACAGAGTTCTGGTTCCTTTTTACCCTCACATTCCCGTGTGATATCTGCCTGGAGCTGCACACCTGGCCAGCCAAGAGGCCTGATTGGTTGCATGTGGCTAAGGGAAGCAGGACCCTTTCTCCCTGGAGCAGACACAGACAAAATGACTCACCATCCCTTCAGCAGTCCAGCCTCCCCCTGAGACTCCACAGTGAAATAAGAGCCAAGGCCAAGCAGAACCTTCTAACCTTACAAGGCTCCATTGTAAAAAATCCCACAGCCTGTCTGTCACAAAAAGGAGGGAAGGAACCAAGCCTGGAAGCCTTGGGCGATTGTCTGGGGGAGGAAGATCAGGTCCTACAAATCAGGTGTATTGTTAGATTGGAGGAAAAGGATGGATGGACTAAAAGGGGCTCAGCCTCAGAATTCTTTATTCCCAAACAAGAAGAGACCAGGAAGAGAGGGAGAGACACAGTTATATGGAATAAGAAAAGGATGGCAGATAAAACCCCCAGGGCTGAGGTCTGGAGTCTGGAGTCCTGAGGCTCCTGAAACTACTTGACATTGTAAGAGCTACTTGAGTATGTGACTTTTCCTAGAAGCTCCACAGCCTCTATCAGAATTTAAAGGGCCACATGTCCCTGAAGTCTTAACCCTTCTTGTTCAGAAAGGGCACGGGAGCCTTCAGGTGCTGCTCACATCTTGAGGGAAATTTTGCCTCTCAAGCTAGGTCTGCCAACAGCTTGCTGCAATAACTCAGACCAGTTGCTCATCTTGTCTCTGCCTTTCAACCAAATGGTGAGCCATGCTGCAAGAGAGAACCCAGCTCTCCACACAGGTGCTGTCTGCCTTCACATCCGAGCTGCAGTCTAGGGTCAGGAAGCCAAAAGGAAGTTTTCCCAACCGAGGCATGGAACCAGCCCCTAATTTCTGGCTCTACCAAACACAGGGCACCTCCAGAGGTAGGTCTTCTGATGAGACACATCCTCATGCCAGGACCCCCATGGGACTCCATTTTTAGTCTCCCTGCACGTCCTGGGCCACGAGGTCCTGTCTGTTGTATCTGTTCACAGAAACAGAGATATCACGGTCAGTACATTGTGGTAACATGGCCCAGCCTACGCTCCCGTCTGGACTACATGGACACATTCACTTGACCCACTCTGAATCTATCAGGGACTTCAAGACAACCCTCCTGCCACCATCCTCTGAACAAACACTGCCAAGATTATTAGCCTATTCACGCACGAGATACTTAGGTTCTGAGCACTTGAGTGACTGACTAGCTCCTGACATCCCAGGACCGTCTTTATTTTCCACCACCAAATACTAATCCATATTGCAATAGCCACCAAGAACCTCAGGCTGAGGCCAATGATCCCCGAGGAGTCACACAGCAACGAGGTTAAGATAGGGAGCAAAGGAGCCGGGCGGTGGTGGCGCACGCCTTTAATCCCAGCACTCGGGAGGCAGAGGCAGGCGGATCTCTGTGAGTTCGAGGCCAGGCTGGACCGATAGCCTCCAAAACAATACAGAGAAATCCTGCCTCGTAAAAAAAAAAAAAAAAAAGATATGGAGCGAAGGAAGTGGACGGGTCTCCAGCGCCAAACACTGGCCTAGCAGGAAGCAAGGGCTCAGGGAACAGGGGCCCTCTCAGAGTCCCTAGCATCTGAACTTCATGTCCCCAGCACCTGTCAAACCCAGTGATGTCCTAACCCATACGCCCAAGTTCCCCCACCCCATCCCATCCCCCCCTCCCCACCCCCGCTGCATTTTCAAATAACTCAGCAACTAAGCTGAAAGATTTTCAGGTCCAAACTCCAAAACAAAGCCCAGACTTGACCCACTGTAGCACTAATTATTAACTGTGATTTGGAACAAGCTTGGGAAAAAATCTTGGTTTCCTCGTTTATCAAATGGCAGAAAAAGGCCAGAGCCTCAGGGTGACAACTTGCAAACAGGAGTCCTGGAAGCAAGCCCTAAGTTTATCATTCTCACCAGGTGGCCTTGACTGGTCATCACAGCTGAGGCCTCTATTCTGTTTGCCTGAATGAACCTCAAGGTTCTCCGATCTTCCGTCTGTCCTCCCAGGGCCTCTGTTCTCATTCTAAATCACAGGTCTGAGCTCACTGCACTCACTACAAAGGGCTGGCGTCCCTTTCCCCTGAACACAAAGCCCTTTGTGGAACAGATCCTAGCCCGTGCCATCTTGAAGTCATCCCTCTGCACACCTGCCGTTCCTACGGCAATTCTCTGTCTCTAGGACACAGTGCAAGACCTCCGAACCCCCTTAGGTGAAGCCAGTCACTTTCCTGACCCAGGGATGTCCCTACTGTAGCCCACATATCTGCAGGCACCCTGACACTATGTCACAGACATGAGTGTAGGGCTTCCAAGTTCCTGGGGCTGGGGTCCTTCCGAGAGTGGACCAGAGCACAACCCGGAGCTAATTAATAAAACTCTCTGGACAAACTACTTCACTCTCTGCTGACAGCCAAGCCTCGCAACACCCCAGGGAAAAGGAACAGTCTCTCATCTTCATGCCCAACTTACAGATAAGCAGCTGAGACATGGAGTGAAATGGCTTCTCAAGACCACCAGACAGTGGATACAGGAGGCTGAGGCTTTGGGAGCTGAGCTTGGGCAGCCCAGAGACCATAGAAAGTTGGTCCTCTCCAAGACGCTTTCAAGTCTGAAGTGCTGGGAATAAAGATCAGGTAAGCATCGAGTTATGTAAACCAACACAGGCTGAATGCCCACTCCTGATCTACAGAGCCAACACTACATACCCACTCCCCACTGCCACTACCCCCACGCCTCAGGGGACTCCGGCCAACCCTATGGGGACTCACCTGCTCTAGGCCACAGGAGCCTAAGGAGGCAAACCAACACAGGTGCCCACAGGAGACGCATGCAGCCACCCAAAGGGTCCAGGGAGAGGAAGAAAAGGGGGTGACTCAAGCCCTTTCAACACCCCAAGATGACCCTGCCCAACCCATGAGCCCATCCAGAGAGGGCACAACTCAACACCCTTGGATGTGGTTCCTGGATTGGAGGCAGCTGGTGGTGGCAGGCGCCCCAGGGGTCATAGCACATGGCCTAAATGGGCTGCCTGGCTTTCAGGCCCATGGCCATGGCTGCGTTGGTGGGTCTTGAGCGAGCCCTCACGCGCGAAGCTCTTGCCACAGCGAGGGCAGAAGTAGGGTCGCCGTTCCCCGAAAACACCGGGACGGCGGGGGTGCGGTGCGGGCATGCGCGCGTGGGTGCGCTGGTGGTTGAGCAAGAAGCGCGGCTCGCGGAAGCAGCGACCGCACTGTGCACACTGGTGAGGCTTCTCGCCGCTGTGGATGCGCTGGTGTGTGAGCAGGTTCTGTTTGAGGCTGAAGCAGCGGCCACACTCGGGGCAAGGGAAAGGCCGCTCGCCGGTATGTGTGCGCTGGTGCACCTCCAGGTTGTGTTTGACACTGAAGGCCTTGCCACACTCTGGACACACAAAGGCGGCGGTACGGCCAGCCCCCACGTGTGCCTTCTGGTGCCGCACCAGGCTGGGCTGCTGGGAGAAGGTCCGGCCACACAGTGGGCAACGGTGGGACTGTTCCTCTGCTGGGTGGTGGATAACCAGGCCTCGATCGTCCCCCAGACCCTCCTCCCCGTCCCCCGCAGGAGACCCTCCCCTGGAGGACACCAGCTCTGTCATGGGCACTTCCAGATGCAATCACCAGCCCCTGGAGAGGTATAAGCCGGGAAAGAGAGAGGGATCAGGATTGGCCATTCTCCAGCCTTTTGAAACACTCACATCTCCAGCTTTGTTTCGTCACAGCCTGCGGTCCTGGGCTCTTCTCATGAACCATTAGAAGGCTTCCCTAGCCGGGCAGTGGTGGCACACGCCTTTAATCCCAGCACTCGGGAGGCAGAGGCAGGCGGATCTCTGTGAGTTCGAGGCCGGGCTGGACCGACAGCCTCCGAAACAATACAGAGAAACCCTGTCTCGTAAAAACCAAAAAAAAAAAAAAAAAAAAAAAAAAAAAGAAGGCTTCCTTGGTCTCTCCAGCACCCCGTTGCTGTCTGCTACCCAGCCCTGAGCCCTGCATCACCACCCTGGAATAGGGTGGTCACGCTACCTCTGACTCCACGCCAGCACCTCAAGAACAGAGAGCTACCTTCTGTTAAAAAAAAAAAAAAGACGCATGCAGCCCTGTGTCTGCACCACACAAGGCATGAGCTAAATACCGCGGGGGATTCTCAGCTTCTCCATTCAGATGCCCACGGATAGGAGGTGACCTGAAACCTGCACGAATGAAGGTCACCAGGGGCTTACAGCAGGAAGCAAAACAACCCCCCCATAAACTTGAAAGTGACCTCCCTGGGTTAAACATTACAAGTAGTCCCCTGTCTAACAAGAAAGTTGAAAGTTGCAGGTCACTGAACCAAAGCAAGAGCTCCCAGGGAGCCAGGTCTGGTCCAGAGGCTGAGCACCACACTCGATGCTCAATAGACATCCCCGGCGTTGGGCTCCCTGCAAGCCTATTTTGAACACTGTCTTCCCAGGCCACTCACGGTGTCCTTCTGAAATAGCTTCACTGTCCTCACAGCATACTGGAATAAGGGGGAGGGCAGGGTTGCTGAGCCCAGATTTGTAAATGGAACAACTGAAGTTGTGTGAAACCAACATACTTGTCCAAGGTCACACAGCAAGGTGAGCCAGGCCTAAGTCTGACTGCGTGATGAAGATGTTTCAGTATATTAGATTTCAGCAACTAAATACCCTGTCACACACACACACACACACCTAACAGCCTTTCTCAGAGGATCACTGCTCCTGTAGGGCGCCTTGTCTTGCCACCACTCCCATGCCTTGGGGAGCACTGGGACCCACTCCTCCCACCCCCTCCATCAGAGAAGCTTATTCAGGGTTCCCCTCAAACCTCCCTGCAAGTCTTCACACTTTCAGCCTCGGTCAATCTATCTGCAGGGTGAGGTCTCAGAGGCACCCGCTGTCTTCCCTACCTTCAGACCAGGGTGGAACCTTCGCTTGCCCTGGAGGAAGGGATGAGGACCCATTGGCATGCTTCCACCCACAATCCCTCCCCAGACAGCTGTGCTGGCATTGCAAAACACAGACCATCGAAGTCTCCTCGGCCAGTGTGAGCCTGGTCACTGGGCAACCTCCCCACTTTCCCTACTAGACCTCTGACCAGACCCAGAGGGTCCCATACCATGGATTTGCCTCCCTCCCCTAAGTTCCTCCATCAAGTGCACACTCACAGCCCAACCTGCTCCCCTTCTGCAGTCTGCAGCAGCTTTTTCCTCTGAGCGGCCCAAGGAAAACACAGTTAAGTCGCCCGCAGCGCTGAGCCCCTTTACCCCCTTCCCCCCCCCCCCCGCCCCCATAAAGCCGGAAAGCCTCCCGCAGTCAAACCCCTGTATTAATCACAAGAGCTCACCCTACCCAGCACGACTACTTCTCACAGGCTTGCCAATTCCAAGGGTCCAAGAGACCCTAGAGAAATGTGAGACACTGTGTATCGCAACCCCACCCCAGGGAGCATACAATCAATCTGACGCAGCCCACCATGCACCGGGCTGCCAGTCCCAGCTCCTGGAGGAATGCATGCAATCCACCCACCCCCGTGCCCGCAGCGCCCCCCACCTCCCATGGGACCGCGCAATCCCGAGTAAACAAGTAATTAAGCTTTGGCACTGCCACTCCCAGGAAGGGCTTCATGGCTCCGGACAAATACGCACTCCCGCAGTGACCCGCCCCCAAGGGTCCCGCATGCACTGGACTCGATTAATACAGTAACCTCCCTCCCAGTCTCGGGCCCTAGCCAGGGACTCACGTGGCGCCGCCTCTGGAACCCTTGTCTCTGCTACAGCGCTGCAGTCACCAGCATCCCCGCAGCCGCACAGCAGCCCCGTGAGGCTGGGAGGTCTAACTCGCCAACAACCTGGCTGGCAGGGAAAAGGGAGGCAACAAGCGCTGCGCCTGCCCGGGAAAGAAAAGGTTTCAGATTCTGGGGGCCATCATTGCCTACAAGAGGGGTCACCCTAGTAGCCCAACACCCCACCCCTAGCCCGGCCAGCTCACTTTCTGGATAAGCGCGGTCTCCCTCATCCCTAGGCAGAAGCAGCCTGGTGTGCCCCCCGGACCTGTCCCAGGTCCTGGGAACCAGGCCCAGTCTCTGGGAGCAGTGCACCATTCCCAAGAAGTAAGAAGGGAGAGACGCAGGGGTGCTGCAAAGTCTCAGAGTCACCAGAGCTGAGTGTATTGTGATCAAGCCAAAGCTGCCCCCTAAAAGTGCTGCTTCTAACTCCCAGACAAGTCAGGCGTGGTGCATGCCTTTAATCCCAGCACTAGAGGGAGAGGCAAGTGAATCTCTGGAATTCGAGGCCAGCTTTGTCTACATATTGAGTTCCAAGCCAGCCAGTGCTATACAGTGAGGGTCTGTCTCGAATGAATGAATGAATGAATGAATGCACCCAGAGAAGGAGCAGGTGCAAGAGGTTTCCCATTGCCCTTTAATTCCACTTGCCTGTCCATACCCTTGGCTTTTTATATCACTCTTTCCCATGTATTATCTCATGGGAACTTGCAATAATATTTTATTATCCCGTTTTATAGATGGGGAAATATTTTTAAAATGAAGCACATGGTGGCTTGCTCCAGTGCCCACAACTTTAAAAGTAGATCACCTAAGAGCCTTAGAGTTCACACTAGACTTATAACTAAACAGGCTTAAGACGGAAATTATTTCAAGGTTATAGTCACCACAGAAACAACTGATAGACCTTCTCTGTGGCACCTCAGTAGCTGCCAGACAGAGAAAGCAGGCTTCCCAGGACCAGACAGGGATTTTTCTAGCAGATTCTAGGAATGGCTTTGTAGGAAAACTTTGTATCATGGGCACGGGGAAACTCAAGACACTGTGAGCGCCCTTCCTGCTTCATCTTTCCAAGTGTCCGGTGTGCTTGCGGAATTCTACCAAAGGGATGAGAGACACTGAAAGCATCCTCTTGTTTGGTACAGTAGAACTAGAAGCCATGCCTGTGTTCCAGTTTACTTAGGACCAGTGTGTGTGTCAGCAGCCCAGGGCAAACCTCTCCACAACCAGCTCCCTCCCCATGCCTGAGGTCAGTGATGTAGGCTAAGCAGTGACGTTGCCATTAGACATGGAGGTAAGGGGGTTGGTGGTCCGACTTGTCCCCCAGGTCATGTTCTACAATGAGGGCAGGTCCACACCTTCTGTCAGACTAGGTCTGTTGTCACAACTATCGGCTTCTCTAAGGATAGCACAGCACTGTCAACTTCAGCTCTGATTCTCTTTCTTTGTCAAGTGGGTCAGAGAGTATCGAAGAGGTGGCATCAAGTCAAAGACAAGGTCACACTTGTCCTAGTGGTTTACAGTGCAGGGTACTTGGCACCATTGCAGATATTAAGGGAGGCAGCCACAGACAGACAGACATGAAGTAGGACATACAGAACGAAAGGTAAAAAGCACAGAAGCAACACATGGATGGTGAGGAAACAGGTTTAATTAAGTTCTAAGAGCTAATGAAACAATCATAAGGTCAAGCATTCATAACTAATAAATCTCCGTGTCATGATTTGGGAACTGGTTGGTGGCCCAAAAGAAAGCCTGCGCTGCATGGGAGCCAGTCCGTGAGAAAGGCAAAAGTCCCCAAGGCTTGCTATCCTGTCCTCTGCGAGGTGAGTGAGTGCCAACCTGCAGTGGTCCTGCGGCCAAGTTTGCAGAAGGCTGCATCAGCTGGGTGGGGCTGGACCCTGGAACCATTCTTGTCTTCTGTGAGGAGTAGATGGAAGGCTAAGACAGGTATCCTAAGGTATATGAAGAGCAGCTGGCCATTGGTAAATGAAAGCGCCAGGTTCAACAGCAAAGGGGAGCTGACAACTGCCAAGGAAGGTGAGTTTCATCTCTTCAATGGGTGACAGGAGAAGCAGGGATGCGTAGGGAAGACCACGGTTTTCTAAAGCAAATTCAATAATATATGGCAGGGCAGTACCATGCTCTCAGTGGCAGTTCCTAGGCAAGCTGTGCCAGTACAGGAAAAGTAAACACAGCTGTGGGCAGGGATGGGGGACAGGGAATGCCATCTAAACCCCTCAGTATCTGAGGGGAATGACAAGGGATGAAGGCTGAATTTCGGCTGAGTGGCTTCTGTCCTCCCATTTCATGTGCAAGCACCTGCCCCCAGCCCAAATCCATCCTCGTGTGCTGTGGAAAACTCAAGACAGTGTGACCACATTCTGCATACATATATCTCAGCTTCTTTATCCAGGCCAGACAGTGACCCACATGTGGCCGTCACCATCATGTAAGGGTCATGAAGCAGCTGGACTCTAGAGCCTGACAAGGGTATGTGGATCCTTTCTGTGTGGGTGAAAAGCTAACTCACAACATCCTGTTGAAGCCCTGTGCTGTATTCACCCTGAGGCACACTAGACAAACGGGTGATTTGGGAACATCCCTGAGGGCCCCAGAGAGCGGCCCTGGTCATCCCCGAGCACTCCTGCACAGTGACAAAGCTCTAAGACTCCCATCTCTCAACTCTTCCAGAAGCTCTTTCTATCCCCCATGGTCTCTATGTCTCACCAAAATCCCAGTCTGGTGCTGATTTCAATCTGGAATTTAGCACACTTGCATAATCCCCATCAGGTGGTGGGTTTCCAAGAGCAGGGACTGTTTTTAGCATCCCTGAATCCCCAAGGGTTCAGCATGTAGCAAGTCTTTTTCGGTGTCTATTCAGTGAATAATGCATGTCTGCAATAGCACATCTGATATCTCCCTGGGCAAGCCATAGGGACCAGGTGAGAATGAGGAGCTGCAGAATAAACTACCTATCCAGCCACAATCTAGAAGGGTGTGAGGGGTTGCAGAGGCCTGAATATAGATGCAAAGCTCAGGTTGTAAGGTGTCATCTGCTCCAAAACTCTTTCTTCACACTTAAAATCCAAGACCGGGCCAATAACATCAGGCTAGTCAAACCTTTAAACACATGGCAGATCTGAATGTGAGGAACTGGTTCATTCCTGCTACCATTTAGATACAATGTGCCCCTCCCTTCAAGAGCTCAAAGATTAATCCACTGGTGGATTCATATGATAGCAGTATTGGGAGATTTTTTAGAATGTTGGAGGTGGGGTCTAGTTGGAGGAAGTAGGCCCTTCCTTGGTAGGAGGGGGTGCCAGGAATGATACACTTTGTCCCAGACCCTTTCCTGTCTTTGTGCTTCCTGGATGCCTTAGGGTGAGCACCCTCCTCTGTCAGACGCTCCCACCATCATGATATTCCATTTCACCTCAGGCCTAAAGAGATGGAGTCTTCTAAGCATGAAACCCAGCCACATACACCCTTAGGATAGGACTGCCTCCCTTGTTCTCAGGTATTTTCATAGCAACAGAAAAACTGAGTTTTTCATGAAACAGTTCCTCATAAAAAACTGAGGTCAACGGGGAAAATCCTTTCCTTGTCTTCCCATAATGCACACACTCTTCCAGTAGCCACACACGGAGCTTATTAGAATCACAACAGCAACCTCCTAGTGAGGGCTTCAACACAGAGCTGTATCTTCATCCTTGACTAACAACAACAAAACCCCACCTTTTCTATCCACTATGAATAAGGAAAGCATTCTGAGAAAGGGGTGGGAGAAGGCAAGGCTTCTAGCTTTCTGCCTATAGAAGCATCATTATTACTAGGGTGCACTATTGCCCCGCGGGGCTATTATATAAAATTCAACTTAAAACGCAGGAATCTGTTGTGCATGTGTGGATGTTTGTTTTTTGTTCTTGAAAGGGGTCTCGTGTAGCTCAAGCTGGCCTCAAACTTTCTATGTAGAAAAGTGTAACGTGATAAATAAAAGGCTCACAGACAGATATTGAGGCTTAAACTTCAAGCTGAAGATCAGAAAAGCAAAGCAGCTGATCACAAGCTTACTTCTACCTCAGACTGAAAGGTGATCCTGGCTCCACCAAACCTCAGGCTGCTACCGCTCCTCAGTGGCTGGAGGATCCTGAGATTTCAATGTCCTTCTATCCTCAATGTGGCTGGAGAATGAATGCTAGCTTTGAGAACCTATTCCTGTCTTAAGATCCCCTCTTGAGTCCTGGGATCAAAGGTGCGTGATCCCAAGAGCTGAGATCACCTTTGTGTGAGCTGTTTCCCTTTAGGACTCGATATATCTCCTGTAGCTCAGTGTGGCCTTGAACTGATAGATCCGTCTACCTCTTAATCCTGAGTCCTTGGATTAAAGGTGTGTACCACCACCACCTGATCTCTATAGCTTGAGGCTTTGCTTTCTGCATTCTCAGGCAAGCTTTAATAAATCATAAATAACTGATGGGGAAGTCTGTGTATATGTCAATAAAGCACTGTTGGCCAATAGGGAAGCAAGATAGGTGGGACTAGGAATCGAGGAGGACTGTGGGTAGGAGAAACACAGGGAGTCACCATGTAGTCGCATAGGGGTAAGAAGTCCAGGCCTTTTCTCCAGTAAGAGAAATACTTAGAATAACAATTATGGGTTAAATACTTAAGTCAGAGATAGCCAGTAAGAAACCAAGCAAATGGCCAACAGCTTCATAATTAATACAGCGTCTTGTGTGTTATTTGGGGACTACAACGTGGCAGAGCCCAGGCGACTGGTGGGGAAAAACCAAAGCGGCAGACAAGGAAAAGGCTTTTCTCTACAAATAACACATCACCACAGACAAGGATGACATTTAGCTTCTGATCCTCCTGCCTCCACCTCCCAAATGCAATGATCAACAAATGTGCACCATTGATGACCAATTCTATGGGGCCCTGGGGACAGAACCCAGGGCTTTGTACATGCTGGGCAAGCACTAATATCTAATCCATGAGCTACTTCCACAGCCTGAAGGTTTAAGTGTTTAGGAGATACATGTGACTAATGACTATGATATTGGACAACACACACACATTTCATCCTTGCAGAAAGTGCTGTTGCGCAGAGATGACCTAGGACATGTCCCCCAAACCTGGAGATGCAGGAGATTCCATCCTCTTTGCCCAAAGGGATAACCTAAGATATTACTTATTTCCCTCTCTTCACTGTCCTTGTCAAATCCAGGATGAATGGTGACATACTATTTGGGGCTTCAATACTCTTTCTACCAAAAAAAGTCAAAGATATTTATGAAACTCAGACCATGTGAGAATGTTTCAGAGGTACCCTCCACTCTGTCAGCTTTTACACACACACACACACACACACACACACACACACACACACACACACTCAGCAAAGATCTGTTTTCTCTCCAGGTTAGTGTACCTGCTGGGTATTTGCTCCTCAGGGCCTCTGTATCCCACCCCTACACCTTCCCTCGATTAGCTTCCCATGGCAGAATGACTCATGAGCCTGAGAAGTGCACTTCAAACCCTCCCAAGGAGCCTGACCCCTTTGCTGTTGAACCTGACGCTTTTGTTTACCACTGGCCAGCTGCTCTTCATGTACCTTAGGCTACCTGTCTTAGCCTTCCATCTACTCCCCACAGAAGACAAGAATGGTTCCAGGGTCCAGCCCCACCCAGCTGATGCAGCCTTCTGCAAACTTGACCACGGGACCACTGCAGGTTGGCACTCACTCACCTCGCAGAGGACAGGATAGCAAGCCTTGGGGTCTTGTTTCCTTTCTTGTGGACTGACTCCCACCCTCTTAAAATCTGCAGTGGTGCAGACTACCCTGCACTGTAAACCACTAGGACAAGTGTGACCTTGTCTGTGATTTGATGCCACCTCTTCAATACTCTCTGACCCACTTGGCAAAGAAAGAGAATCAGAGCTGAAGTTGACAGTGCTGTGCTGTCCTCAGAGAAGCCAATAGTTGTGACAACAGACCTTAGTCTGACAGAAGGCATGAACCTGCCATCATTGTAGAACATGACCTGGGGGACAAGTCGGACCACCAACCCCCTTACCTCCATGTCTAATGGCAACGTCACTGCTTAGCCTACATCACTGACCACTGGGGAGTAGATGAAATCATGAATAAGAAAGCCTTATTAACAAGGCCAGAGCTGAAAATGATTTGTTCAAGAGGGAGCACACAGATTGTGACAAATGGCGTGGCATATTAAAATTACTCCCCAGAAGTCCTTCAGGAAGGGCAGAGGCCATGCTTTTCTCAACTAACACACGGCCTGGTACACAGATCCATTAAGGAGCCAATGCTTTGCAGTCCCAACCTGGTCGATGTGCGTATAAATCAGTAATTTTGCCCTCCGGAGGATGTGACCCTGTCTGCCCTATGACCCCGTGAGAGACTCATCACACAGGAAAAGTGAACAGACGTTCTCAACATTCTAAACTTGCACAACCAGGGACTACAATTAAGCCTCATTAACTCTGAGTCCTACACACACTCCAGTGTGATTTGAATTTAATCACAGGCCATTTGTGGGAGAGAATCCATTCCATTGAAGGACTGAGCATATCTAATCTCTTCAGTGTTTGCTTGTACCACTTGATTCCATAGGGAGTTATTATTTCTGCAGGGCCTACCCTGAAGGCAATGGCTCTCTAGTCCCAAATGGTGGTGCCCTTGGACTGCCTTTCAGGAGTAGGTAAGCTTTTCAGGCTAGATTCAGGACTTGCTAGATGGCAAAGAGGAAGAAGCATGTAAGGATTAGGTTCTGGTATGAGGCGGGATACTGAGCATCTCCTGGGAAGGGAAGGGCAGGCTGGATGGGAAAGAGCAGGGCATTACAGGGAGGCAGGGGAGAGGCTAATTCCAGTGTGGGTCAGAGAGGCTGGTGGGAAAACTCTGTAGGTTTGGCTTCCTGGTGGTCTTCAGGGATGATCAGCACACCTCTCCTAGTGCAGGACTTCACCCAGTTTAGGATCAACTAACTTGACCAAGAAGAAGCAGGCCAGGGTTGACACTAAACTTCTTTGCTACCACGCTCCTCAGGAGAGGTACGACAGTTGCAAGTCTTGTTCCTCCTTCTTTGGACTTACATGTCCTTCTGTAACACTACAACTAAAGCATCTCCAAAATAAAAGCGTTAAACTATTCTCCCTAGAGAAGAGACCAAAAGCCAGGCTGAACTCAACACTGCTTGGCATCCTCAGGGAGATACAAGCCCCGGGAGGCCAGCAAGTGTAGTTCACCCTCCTCCAGAACTTTCCTGGGCTCTATCATTCTCCTACCCATAAGTTGTCCAGCCCTGGCACTCATCTCCTGGAAAGAACACTTCCAAGGCTATCCTGAGCTGAGGCGCTGGCTTCTGGCGGCACCAGAACATCAGCCACCCTGCTTTACAGGGGCAGGAGCAGGGACCTCAGACGGACAGAGTGGAAGACAGAAAACTACCCTCCAGCCTGGGCAGCAGGTAGGAGGGGGGCACATGAATGGCAACCCCACACCCACACCCACACCCTTGGGGTCCTAGGAAGCACACACATCTGGTCTCCAGTAAGGACGATTCAGAAAGGACAGCAACACCATGTGGAATATCCAGTCCTTCATTTTTCTCCAAGTCACAGGAACCACACACTTGGAACAGAGGCCACACTCTTGCACAGCCACGTTCCCAAGCAGCCCAGCTATGGCTGAGACCATGAGACTGTACCCCATATCCATTAACCATCAAACACGTTGTCAGTTCTATGGCCAGGTCTGCCATACCTAGCACCATGAGCAGCGAGACACTCAAAACAGAGACCATCAAATCATCCCGAGCACACACTACAGCTCTTCCTCCTCTGGGCCAGGGTGTGGTGCCTGAGCTCCGCGATGCACACGTTGATGCTTGAGCAGATGCTGCTTTTGACGGAATCCGCGGCCACAGGCAGTGCACAGGTAGGGTCTCTCACCGGTGTGGTTGCGCCGGTGTCGGGTGAGGTTGGGCTTCTGGCTGAAACAGCGGCCACAGTCCGGGCACGCATAGGGCCGCTCGCCGGTGTGGATGCGCTGGTGGATGGTGAGCGCTGACCACCACGAGAAGCTCTTGCCGCACTCGTTACAGATGAACTGGCGCTGCTCACCGGATACAGCCAGGGTCTCGCACCCCTTGGCAGCCTGGGAACCAGGGGACTTCACAGCCACACTCCGGACAATCTCGGCTTGGGACTCTGAACCGGGCACGCCACCCTGGACAGCAGACCGCGAACGCAGCAGCTCTGTAGCAGCATGCATTCGCTGGTGGGCCCGCAGTGCGGCACGGCTGGGGCAGTTCTGTCCGCAGCTGGTGCACCTTGCAGCCTGAGCTCCAGGTAGGTGCGTGCGCAAATGCTTGAGCAGGTGCTGCTTCTGGCGGAAGCTGCGGCCACAGTGAGAACATGGGTGCGGCCTCTCGCCAGTGTGGTTGCGCAGGTGCCTTGTGAGGTTGGGCTTCTGGCTGAAGCGGCGGCCGCACTCAGGGCACGCGTAGGGTCGCTCACCTGTGTGGATGCGCTGGTGGATATTCAGTGATGACCACCACGTGAAGCTTTTGCCGCACTCGTTGCAGATGAATTGGCGTTGCTCACTGGGACACAAGCGGCTGTGGGCTGCTGTCCGTACCTTGTGCTGACCCCACCAGCCCTGGTAGAGTCCCAGCCACACCCACTCGGGGCGCCCGCGTGGGGATCCAGGGCGCAAGCGACAGGCCCGGCGGCGTGCAGCGTAACGTAGCATTTCATGCAAGCTGACACGGACACCCAGGCGGTCACGGGCATGCGCTCGCAGATGGATCCGGAGGCCCACGTGGTGCCGGAAGCAGCGCTCACATTCTGGACACGGGTGGGTGGTGGGCCGAGAGTGAGTCTTCTGGTGCTTGAGCAGGTGCTGTTTCTGACTGAAGCGTCTTGGGCACTCTAGGCAGCAGAAGGGCCTCTCGCCAGTGTGGTGGCGCTGGTGGCGCTCCAGGTTGGGCTTCTGACTAAAGCTCTTGCCACACTTGCTGCAGCGGTAAGGCTTCTCGCCCGTGTGTGTGCGCTGGTGAATCTTCAGGGAGGACCACCAGCTGAACCTTTTCCCACAATCCATGCACACAAAGTGACCCCCACCCCCAGAAAGTGCGGGGCTCAGAGGGCTTGGAGCTGTCCCTGGAACTCGAGCGGCCAGCTGTGCATCCTGCTCAGGGGGTGGGGCCCACCATGTACCCCCAACCTCCTCCTGTGACCCCAGAGCCCAGGGTCGCCCCATGGTCTGGCACAGTGGGAGGCCCCCCAGCTGCTGAAATATGTTTTCCTTGTCTTTCTCTGGAAGTGAGGCCTGAGACACCACAGTCTGCAACAGCCAGTCTGGCTTCTCCTGCTTGATCCCTGCCAGTCCATCTCCTGTAGAGGCAAAGGGAGGAGTCAGAAGACATCATCGTGGGATGCGAAGAGCACAGAGAGGGAGAGGTACCGGGGAGGGGAGGGACAGCTTTAAATGGAGGGAAGAACATGGATAAGAAAGGATGGGGGTGGGGAAACTTGAAGGACCCTATATGGGCAGGCAGCATGTGAAGGGAGGAGAAAGTCCACAGGAGAGTAAAAACAAGAGCATGGCTGGCTTGCCAAGGCCATGGCTCCCTCATGCATAAGCTGCCCTGCCTTCTCTACCAGTGGATGCAAAGATGTTAAAGAACCCAGGCAGTGATGCTTCCTGACCCAAGAGCACCAGTTGCCCTGTAAGAGCACCACCTGCCCTGTAAGAACAAAGAGCACCACCTGCCCACCTGCTGAGCCATTTCGCCAGCCTAAAACTTGCCGTTCTTTTTCTAGGAGAATGGACACGGGGAGCTTTCTAGGCAAAGGCATATCCAGTCCCCCAGTGGTTACGGCTACCACACCCTGAGTCACCAATACTTTCTCTCTGCTGGTAGGACCCGGGCTCCAATGCAGTAGCCATGGAGCAAGCAGAAACATCCCACTGGAAGGACATCCGCCTTTCTCTCACAAAACCAAGAATGGGGAGGTAGGCCCTGTTCTGTACCTTGGAGCTCTGACAGGACACGCCCTCAGCTGCAGGCACTAAGAGCACCTGTGCATAATACATAGTCACTATGTGCCCTTTTAAAATGACCCTGCCCACCTCCCATCTTCCTCTCCCTCTCCCTCCCTCCCTCTCTCTCTCTCTCTCTCTCTCTCTCTCTCTCTCTCTCTCTCTCTCTCTCTCTCTTTTCCTCTGCCTCTCTTTCCTCTTCCACTGCTCCTGTCTCTTCCCAACTCTGTTTTCCCCTTTTTATGATCCCTTTCCCAACCTCCCCCCCAAAAAAAACCCTCTGCTTGAACTCTGTCACATGGTGTCTTTTTCTCTCACAGCCATTTTTTAAAAATTATAACCGCCTCCAAGGCTCACGTGGAAAAAGTTATAGTCCATGCCCTTTTAGTAAAGATAATCCACCAGAGCAATAGTTCCTATTGCAGGAACCTTTAAAGACAGTTCCTCATGTTGAGGGGACCCCCCAACCACAAAATTATTTTTGTTGCTACTCCATAACTGTAATTTTGCTACTGCTCGGAATCATAATGTAACTATCTGATATGCAGGATATCTGACATGAGACCCCTGTGAAATGGTCATTGGATTCCCAAAGGGATCGAAACTCACAGGCTGAGAGCCACTGCAATAGAGTTCAGGGAAGCAGCTACCAGCCCACACCTTATACCAGGCTCCTGGTGGTAAGATGTCATAGTGCAGGCTGCTTTAGAAAGGACAGAGGACAGATGTGATTCGCAGATCTGAACATCAAATCTGGAAAAACTGTAAGTTAGATCATGGCCCATTACAGAGGCAGGGTTCTGAGGTCCTGTCAGTGCTCATGGTCACAAAGAATTTTTGGAGCCTTAATGTATGCACCTTTCTCTGTGTGTGTTGCATTTCAGTAAGAAGCTTACACGCGACAAGGAGGCAGTGTGAAACAGTCAAGAAGATTTGCAAACAGATTTCTACATCAGCATAGTTGACACATTTGAAAAAGTAGAAAAAAGGCAATAATAAAGTTAAAAACCAAGACTCACAAAAGTACTAAAGGATTCCAAAAACACTAAAATATCATTTGTATCACTAAGTTTGTAAATATATAGTAAATAATATTACAAGAAAATACAAATTAAAATGAATTCAAAATTTAAAGGGGCTCTGTGGTTAAGAGCACTGGTTGATCTTCCAGATCAAGGTTCAGTTCCCACAAGACAGGGATCATAAACTACCTGTAATGGCACCCTCTTCTGGTATCTATGAGCACTGCATGCATGTGGTGCACAGATACATGATGGCAAAATATGTATACATTTAAAAAAATGGCCTAGCACAGCATACACCTTTAATCCCAACACTTGGGAGGCAGGAGCAGGCAGAGCTCTGTGAGTTCGAGGATAGCTTCACCTACATAGTAAGTTCCAGGACAACCAGGGCTGCATAAGCTACCTAAAGAGACCCTGTTTTGTTTTGTTTTTTTTTAATTTTTAAATAACACATTTTAAAATGATTTTCAGTAAGAACAGGTTAAAATGATCATATAAATGTCTATAAGAAGCTAATGTAAAAGCTGAATTCTAACTCAAATTGGTTTATAAACAACATAGCTGTATCAACGTAGTTCATAAAAAATTCAAAGGAAGGTTTGAGAGATGGTTCAGCATCTAGGAGCATATGCTGCTCCAAATTCAGTTCCCAGCACCCATGTGGGGTGGCTCACAGGCAGCTGTATCTCTGGCTCTGGGGGATCTGATGCTCTCTTCTGGTCTCTGTGGGACCCTGCATGTATACAGCATACACTCACAGACACACACTCAGCACTCAAAAATTACTGTTAATTTATAAGAAATAATCATTCCCAGTTCTGGAACTATTCAGTAACTAGGAGGGCAGGATGAAAAAGGAGAGGAGAGAATGAGAGACAGGGAGCAGTCTATAAGGCAAGCATACAAGAATGGGAGCAGGAAGGATAATTGTAGATTTACTGCTCCTCAAACACAAACATTTGCAAAGCAAGCTCAGTAGAATTAGAAATATTATAGCTTTGCTAGGATTTTCCCCCAGAAAAGTAGGACGGCTTGATACAATTCTTGATATTATCCTATTAAAAGTGAAGTGTCAGCTGAGGTTGTAGAATGCTTGCCTAGCAGCACAAGGTCTGTAATTGATTCCCCGGCATTATTTTTTTAAAGCACACCTTATACCATTCTCAACAGATGCAGAAAAAGTCATATGAAAAAAATTTCACCATCATTTCAGGAGGAGGGGGGAAGGCATTAGCAAACTAGGAATACAAGGAAATTTAAGAAGACAAGGTACAGCAAGCTTTCTACTCAACAGCAAAGGACAGAAGACAGTATTAAGAACACAGTAAGAGCCGGGCGGTGGTGGCGCACGCCTTTAATCCCAGCACTCGGGAGGCTGAGGCAGGCGGATCTCTGTGAGTTCGAGGCTGGGCTGGACCGATAGCCTCCAAAACAATACAGAGAAACCCTGTCTCGAAAAACCAAAAAAAAAAAAAAAAAAAAAAAGAACACAGTAAGGATACTCTTTATCATCGATACTATTTAACCTTGAGAAATCAGTCAAAGGATAGGAGAGAAAACACAAAGATACTGGAAAGAGGGGGGAAATAAAAACCTCTCGTGTGCTTATGACTATTAACTTAGGTGTGCTAGAGAAATGGAGATACTATGGTACAAAAAGCATACAAAAATTAATCACTTTTAAAAACAGACAACAGTCATTATAAAAGCATAAAAAAATTGGTAAAGAAAACCACTAAAGAGATAAAGGTCTTAGTGTCAACTGTCTTTCTGTGGTAGTTTCAATGAGAATGACCTCCAGAGGGGGGCACAGATTTGAGTATTTGGTCCCCAAGTAAAAGAAAGAAGTGTAACCTTGTTGAAGGTGTGTCACTGCGGGCAGGCTTTGAAGTTTCAAAGACTTACACCATTTCCAGTGAGTTCTCTATCTCTCTCTGTCTGTCTGTCTCTCTCTCTCTCTGTTCTCTCTCTCTCTGTTCTCTCTCTCTCTCTCTCTCTCTCTCTCTCTCTCTCTCTCTCTCTCTCTCTCTCTCTGTGTGTGTGTGTGTGTGTGTGTGTGTGTGTGTGTGTGTGTGTGTGATAGTTGTGGATCAAGATATAGGCCCTCAGCTATTCCTTCACTCCACCATTATGAAACTAATCCTCTGAAACAATAAGCCAAATTAAATGTTTTTTCTTACAAGTCACCTTGGTCATGCTGTTTTATCACAGAAACAGAAAAGTAACTAAGACATTTCCTTTCAGGGGAAAAACAATAGATTCTTGATGCATAGTGTTAATAAAAATCAACTCTAAATAAACTTTGATCTTGCCTGTGCTTGGTCATGAGAATTCATTTTAGTAAGTCATGCTTAAGAAGGCAAGCAGTATCTTCGATTATATATATCAGGAACTGAATATACAAATGTAATGAGTTGAGTTGATTATAGGTCTGTCCCCTGACCTGCACTGAAATTTGGGCAAAGGAAGATTTGGTGCCAAGTATCTAACCTGGCAGTGAATCTGAGGTTTATTCAATGAGAAGCGATCACCGTCCCTGATTGACATGGTATCTATTAAAATAACCCAGAGGCCCCCATATTCAATGCCTTGTTAAGTTTAGCCACGGCTTCCAACCAGAAAGATGGCCTGGGTAAAGCTCTTCTCCAACTAGTGTTGAAGAGTATAGAGGAATATGGACCCAGCACAGACCCCTGTAGGTCCTATGGCTAAGAAGGGAGTGTGCTTGAACTTCAGCCTGCCCAGAGGCACATTCTCTTGGGCTCAGATGAGACAAAAAGCCTCTTCCCTACAGGAACCACTCCTCATTCTTACAACAGCATAATGTTCTCTGTTGCCTTGACAGAACTGCTACCAAGGCCTGAGAGGGTCTCTGGTAGGTGGGAGCTGTGGCAGCCCTACAGAGCGCGCCTAAAGCATCTGCCTGGGAAATCCCCAGACTGCCTGCTGCTTGTCATCACAGTAGCCTGAAGACTGATGAAGACCCTGAACTCTGAGTGGCCCTGCGATCTCCAGTGGTCTGGATTGATGGTCAGTGAACAACAGCTTCTCGTAGACAATCGCCCTACCCAGAGAGCGCATTCTCCAAGTCTGACCAGCCACACGTCAAGTCCCAATGTCGGCACTGAAAACAATACCCCGCCTCTTACCCAGCCTGCTGTGTCTCTACGGGCCTGGCTTTTGCTGTGTTTGTGCTGCCAACATCACTGTCTTCGTGTTACTCTTTGGGTGGCCTCCAAAGTCCTGGTCCCACACTGAAATTCTACATTCTAGAAGATACTGGTTGAGGAGGTGACTTACGTTTGGTTCTAAGGAGGGTGAGGGGTCCGGGAGAGGGAAGGCTGACTCACTTCTCTTACCTGAGCCATTGCCAGCCAGGCCACTCTCCATCCCTGAAGGGCTCCCTCTGCATCAGTGCTGGTGAGGTCTCAACCCTGCCCCCTGGGGTAAAACAGAAGAGAAAGAATGACTGACTGCCCAAATCCATCTTCCCGGCCCTCTCCCACCTCAGAGCCCACGCTTCTTTTCAGGGTTCTATCCACCCCCTCAGGTGAAAAGTGCAGATGGAAGGTAAGTGGGCACAATTCTCAAGTACAAAGAGGAAACTGAGCCTGAGAGAGGCCGTGAAGGCTAAACAGCTGAACTGTATACAAATTCCCTACCTCAGGCCCCACCCCCTCCTCGACTGTAGAAGATGTGAGAGGGACATGACACCTGAGAACCGGGTACCTCAGGTAACGTTAGATATACGGGGACACGGGGGGGGGGGCTGGGGATGTGGCTGTAGCATGTGAGAGGCCTAGAATTCAATCCCAGCACTATCCCAAATACTAAAGCGACATCTGTGTAGCCGCCGGTGTTTGCTGCTAGGGGGGCCACAGCCCTTCACAACAATCTGGGCTGAAGGGCTAAGGATGTAAATGAAGACAAAGACAGCGGCTCATTCTTTTTTTTTTTTTAATGTGTTTTTATTTTGTTTTTCATTTTTTTCCTCAATATATATTTCTATTTAAATGAGAAACATGAATGCTTCACATGTCAATCCCAGCTCCCTCTCCCACCCCTCCTCCCTTGTCCCTTCACCAGCCCCCCCAGCCCCCCCAGCCCCCCAATCATTCCCCAGGGAGGGTGAGGCCCTCCTTGAGGGGATCTCTAAAGTCTGTCATTTCATCCAGGGCAGGACCTAGGCCCTTCCCCATGTGTCCAGGCTGAGAGAGCATCCTTCCATGTGGAATGGGCTCCCAAAGATCATTCATACACCATGGTAAACACTGATCTACTACCCAAGGCCCCGGTGATTTCTGTGGCCTCCTCACTGACACTACATTCATGGAGTCTGGATAACGCCCCCCTTATCCAGTTAGTTGGTTTCACCAGCACAGTCTTGTCCCCTTTGCTCATCACTCCTCCATCTCTGTCACTGAGTTCCAGGAGTTCAGTTCAGTGTTTAGCTGTGGGTATTAGTCTCTGACAGCGGCTCATTCTTACAAGGAGAATGGTATTACGAGGGTGGGGCCTTATATGCCAAAGGCAGGTATGATGGAAAAACACCAAGACCAGAAGCCTATGTTCCCAGGGCCCTCCGGCAAAGGGTGGGCCAAAAACAGGAATTAGCATTTAGACAACGGATGGACGGAAAACAGGAACTTGCACACAGGCCTTACTGGGAGGAGGGGACGAGAAATGTTTAGCTAAAAGCTCCTAGTAACAAGCCGTGGGGGAAGGGTGCAATACATCTGCAGCCAAGGCAGACTTTCTCCCACAGTTCCTAAGTCAATGGGACACTCTTCCAATATCCTAGGACAAACCCCGTCATAGCTCACAAGTCACCGTCACCACTGCCATTGCCACCGCCACCACCAAGAACACGCTAGCTCACCACTCCCTAGTTCATGATGCCCGCTCCCTAGTTTATGATCACAGTTTGAACACTCCAAACTGCTTCCCTTTATACCTGGGATATGGATTGAGATGGACCACACAGCTGCGTGGATGACCCAGGCTTTGACTCCCTCTGCTCTACTCATCCCTCCGTGCCAGAGGCCATGGGAGTATACAGCAGGTGATAACTAGCAATCAACAGGTCGGCCTACTAGATGAATAGCTCTCTGATGGGGAGCCCCACTTGGAAAAGGCCATGGGGTCACCAACTGTAAATAGCTGGTTGCTTCTGTCTGTAGTTTTTCTCATGTGCATACATTCCTTCCATAAAAACAGCTATGGGTATTTTCCCCTCTGCCTGTGTGTTTACCATATATATATACATATATATATTCCATCTACAGAGTACATTTATAGCTGTGGATGGTCAGGAAGATGATTTCTGCTTAATATGTATGATTCTGATGAACAGAAATAATACTAGGACATTTTTCATTACTCAGACTGACATCCAAAAGTAATAGTATTCTCAGTCACAAAGACAGCTAATTTTAGACTTCAGAACAAATACAAAGAAAACTGGTTGTCCCTGGAGACAGATACACAAGGACAATTTCCCAGGTGTTTATTGCTGATTCAAGGTCAGGTATGAAGCAACTTTAGTAGACCTAACTCCCTGAAGTAATGAACTTTCTGCATGCACTCCTAACCTCAAAGTTCGGTCAACTAACTGTTTATTGGTTAAGTCCTGAATTTCAATGTCACTTTCTGTCTGGGAACGCTGATCACTTAGAGTTATGTGCACAGACAAGCATCACTCACTGGCCTGAGGGAAACTGTGTGATCAGTATGGCTCTGTTTCTTACTGTTTACTCAAGAACTGCTGTGTAATGCTGAAAATATGATTCGTATTTGTCCAGAGGCTTGGCTGGACAGGGAAAAAATGTGAGGTAGGTGTGTGTGTGTGTGTGTGTGCGCGCGCGCGCGCGCATGTGTGTACTGAAAGGGAGATGCAGCTGAGTGTGTAGAAGTATGAGAGATGTACAAGGAAGTGAGTGAGTGAGAGAGAGAGTGAGAGAGTGAGGAGTGAGTGATGTAGAAGAGAGATGTAGCTGTGTCTGGAGAAACTTACAGACTAAAAAGAAGATAAGTGTGTAGAAGGGAGATGTGTGGAGAGAGAGAGAGAGAGAGAGAGAGAGAGAGAGAGAGAGAGAGCGATGAAGAGCTATGTAAAAAAAGAGATGTATAGAGACGTATTTGCAGGAGAGATGTACGTATGTAAAGAGAGATATGCAACTACATGCAAAGATACGTAACTGCTTTTTAGAGATTGTCAAGAAAGAGAGATTATTTAAGATGAAGTAAAAGAGAAGGTTACCATCAGAAAGCGCATGTGTGTTTCATTACTTACCCTCAGATAGAAAAGTCCAGCCCTCAGGTAGAGGAGGAATTTATCTAAGTCTCACTTCTCTGCGGGCATTCTTTCTGCTACCCTGGGTACCTACAATCTCTGCCTGTCTGACTCTTGCTTCCTTCTTCTGCTTAGGCGTTACCTTAGCAGAGTGGCTAGGATACCCTGGGACCTCAGAGTACAAGTGTAATCCCCCTCACCTTTCTTTTCCATCCTCCTATATTTAGGAGAGTATGAGACAATGTCCTATGTAGGCCAGGCTGGCCTTGCTTGTCATGTACTCAAGGATGACCTTCAGTTTATGACCTCTGACCTCCATCTCCCTAGTGCTGCGTTTTCTATGCGGTGCTAGGGAGAGAACTCAAGGCTTCTACCATGATATTCATTCACTCTACCAACTGAGCTACATTCCCCAACTCACCGCCAACACTTTTAACTACCTGACAGGTCTGCGTATTCCCAAATATGCTGCCTAACTTTGAGCTGTGGGCTTGCACTATCTGTACAACATTGGTATGACTGTCTCTCCTAAGGTTAGGGTCTGGCTTCATCCAACAATATTCCCAAAGCACAACCAGGGACTTTGTGGCTAACTGCTCTATAGAAATCCAAAGCTGGTTTCATGCTAGCCCAGGACATGGACTTCTTGGTACTTTTGATTGTATTATCTTCAATAGAAAACTCTGAGCCCTAGAGACCAGTCCTCAATCTGTTGTCCTCCAGGCCACCTTCCTGAGTCTGTTCTGGGGGTGCTTATCCAGACTAGAAATCAGAGCCCTGACTAGAAATTCAAACCCCAGAATCAAGGCAGGGAGGAAACTCCTCCTTTTTCTTGGAGCACTCTTTAGAAACTTCTAGTTGCTAAGCTCTGGCTCTGTCCTCTCTAAACAAATGTAAATCTTTTCATAACTAAATAAGCTTCTTGCCAGCTTGACAACCTACTGTCTTCCTCAAGGGTCTCGGAACCATCCACTGTAGATATCAAACAGGCAGGGAGCCCCGAGGCCTCTTTCCTGGGGAAAACGAATGCCTCCCTCCGGCAGGCTGGCACCTGGGCAGCAAATGTTTTTTCTGTCATAAAAATATGTTTATTTTTAATTTGGATAAGGGCAAATATCTAACAGATAGTCACCCTAACAACCATACAGACTCATAATGAGCTGCATGTGACATGTGATATCCTCCTGCTTGATGACCAGACATAATTTGTTGTGAAACACATGTGCAGTGGGAGGCATCTTCCTGGGCTTGAGTTTCACTGTCAGGCAATGATATCATTCTTACTAATATTTAGTCAATGAAAAAATAAATAAATAAACCTTTCTTTATCATTTACCCCTGTGGGAAATTCTTCTGTGGAGCGGGTTTTGTTTGCAGTTCAGTTTCCTCATGGCGGTCGGGGAAGGACTCCCACTGTGTTTTCTCATAGACACTGAAACCCACTGGTGGCAGAGGAGAGGGAGCAGCAGGAAGCTGAAGGTAAGCTCTGCCTGAAGGGACATCTGGGGACTGGAGCCCCCTCTTGCCCACCACCCATTAACTCTAGGTCTCTCTATCTGTATGAGTTCCTGCATCCCACACCTTGGAGACCATCTCATGAGGCTTAAGAGGATCACAAACAGAGAGGTCACCTGGCCATGGAGAGACATGATTGACTGACTGAGAGAGTGTGGGCCAGGAATGCAGGGCAGAGCGAGAAGGTCAGGACTCAACCTACACCACACGTGAGAAGCCCTAAATCACCCAGTCAGAGCCCCACTTCTCCCACTCTGGCTTCTAAGTTCTGTTTCAAACGTAGAGCTGGCAGGGCCTTGGCTCCCGGTGACCCGGCTTGAGCATCACCCATACCACACCAGGCAGGAAGAGCAACTCTGCTGGGGTCTCGCCAGGAACAGATGTGGGAACAGAAGGCAGGAGACCCACACAGGCCCAAAGGGATGAGGAGAGAAGTGAGATGGGGATACAGAGAAGACAGATACGTGGAGGCAGGCCGTGTCTTTTGAGATCCACGTCCTATAAGCTCAGGTGTTACACGTCTGCAGAACCCATGCTCGGAAAGCCAAGCCCAGGGTAGGCCCTACATACAGACTCAGGTCCTCCATGCCCCCATGCCATACCCTCCAAGTGAGTCTCCCTGAACCCCATTCTTGACCTTCCCTTCCTTCTATCGCCCGTAAGCACTATCAGGACAGGGCATACACAAGACAAATCCCCGGTCGCCTTCATCTTCCTGTGGCCTGCCAGAGCCTAGAGACCTACACTGGGTCAGGTTACAGTTTGGATATGAACTCCCCTGACAGAAAGTCCCAAAAAACAGCAATTGCTCTGCCAACTGCAGAAACAAAGAGAGGGGACTTGTGGCCTGCAGCAGGAGGTGAGGCCTGGAGCAGGGGAGATGACAGGGGGGCTTTGGGGCCGGCATAGATTGACGAACACAGGGTGCAGAAGTGGAAATGAGGTGACGCCAAGCGCCAGGGACAATCAGCTCAGGGAGCTGTTCAGGGCTCCCCACTCACTCCTCCCACAGCGCAGGCTGGATGGAAGGGTCCAACATAAGGTGTATGAATTCAAGTTGTGCAGGTCTGAGGATAAAAAGGCTTAAGTGATGACAAAAACAAAAGTGATTTGAGACATTCAAAATAATGAAACATGTTCCAATTCCTCTCTCTCATTATGCCACAGCCTCATCATTAATCAATAAAGTTCTGATAAGCTATTAATCCAACTCTGACAGGGTACTAAACACTATACTATAACACTATAGGATCATAACTGTAAACTCAAGATTAAGGTGCTTTTCATTATGCTAAAAACATCTGTCACAGCTTTCCAGATGAAAAGGAAGAATGTTAATGCTTTCAACCAAATCATTTCTGACATGAGTATGCTGCCATTTCTACAATGCAAATTTCAGTACAGATCATAAACAATGGAAATGCTAATGTGTCTAAAACTTAAACGTTTTCACCAACTCAAAGGATTTTCATAAGTTCCAGGGAGACAAATTGAACCCACCCAAACAGGTCAGATTCACTCCAGATAAAAATATCATCCAACCTTTCCCCCAGTCCTGGGACTCCCTTCCTTCATCTTGGCACCCCCTGCCTCATCTTATGATCCTCCTCTCCTCAAGTACCAGGACCTAAGAAAAAAAATTTTTTTCCTAAACTTAACCTTGTCCTCTGCTCTGTCACAATCTTGCCAGGTCTAAGAGGTGCTAGAAAGTTCCATACAGCCTGGACTGTGATGAAACAACCAGCTACCCCAGAACATGGAAGCATCCCAGCTTTCTCAAAGATGGTCAATGGCCCCAGGTCAGCAGGAAAAACTCAACACCCTTATTTCCTAACCTGCCACACCTGACTCCTCACCTTTTTAATAAAGGTGGGAATGTAAAGATTCAGGCATTATGCTGGCCTGCCCGTCACCTGGCAGAATGCAGTCGGGTAGTCCCCTGGTCAGCATGCAGGTGCAAAAGACCCCTTTAAAAGAAAGACCCCCCCACCCACTTACGCTGTTTCTGCTCTCTCCTGCTCTTTCCTGCCACGACACGCCCTGTCTCCCTCTTCTCCTCTGTCCTCTCTCTGTCTCTGTGTCTCTTTACTCTTTCCTTCCCCTCCCTCCCCTTTCTAATAAAACTTCTCACTTAAACTCTGCCTGGCGTGTTGGTCCCTCCCCTTGGTCACCTGCGCCTGCCATGGAATCCAACAAGGTCCTCCTGTGCTTTTATCGTAACCCAGGCCCCTGCCAAGGAATCAAACTGAGAAGCGAACAGTACTTCATACCTCCTTTGTCACCAGTAAAGCAGGACTTCCAATGACAAAAGCCCAGCCACTGGTTTTTCTCAGCCCAGAGATCCAACAAGGTCCTAATCCTGTTGAGTTCTCATCTATACCAACAACCCTAACCCTTCCCAGGAGGCCAGGCAGGAGACAGCCTGCCCTCAAGGCCCCCCAACCCCCCCCCAATTCCCTCTACTCCACTTCCCCTTCTAGCAAACACATTTTTCCTAGCACTCACTGACCCTACCTGTCCTCTCAGGGCACCCCGACAGTGACATCATCCTTCCGCTTGCTTTCCCTGACTGCCAGCCTCACCAGGGAGTTGCCAGAAAGCTGGGGCAGCATCTGCATAAGGACAGGTAAGGGCGGCATCTATACCGTGCCAAGGAGGTTCTCAGATCTCCCCTTGAGGAAGAGGATGTGCATCCCTCAAGCCCACGCTGGCTTCCTTTGACCTGGGGAAAGAAAGAACAGATAGATGGTCAGCAGGAACAGGGAGAATGTCACTAACTGCTGAACATCGATCGACTAAGCATCAAAGCACTCAGCAAGCAAAGCCCATAACATTCTTTAGGTAAAGAAATTCTGCCTCAGGTCATATAAATGCTAGCAACAGGGCAGATTGGCTGGGGGAAGGCTTGCCCCTACTGGCACACTCTCCATAACTGTGTAGCTTCCAAGAGAAGGTAGGAGACTTAGCTGGAGGGCACCTGTAGCCAAGACAACCCTAAACTCCCAGTCCCTCATTTTCAGGAGTTTGGCTTCCATGCCCACATGTGATTATTTAAATTCAAATGATCTGGAAAGATGGTTCATAGGTTAAGAGCACTGGCTGCCCTTCCAGAGGACCAGGGTTCAATTCCCAGCACCTACATGGCTGCTCACACCTGCCTGTAACTTCAGTTCCAGCGGATCTGACACCCCCACACAGACATACATGCAGACAAAACACCAATGCCCATAAAACAAAAAATAAACAAATCATTAAAAGGTACAACAACAAGCATCCTTAAATTCAAATAAATTAACTTTTTAAATTCGGTATCTCATTCATACTGGTCACATGTAAGTGCTCAGAGGCTGTGTGGCTGTCCCACTGAGACTGACAGCCAAGGACACTGCTGTCTTCCTGGGGGGTGAGCTATCTAGAAAGGTGGAGTCTTGCCCTGCTGGAGCCTGACACAAGAGAAGGCTCCACACACACTGAATGGCTGGGTAATTAAGCTGAAGACTTAAAAGCAGTCATTCCTCTGGCCCCAGCCCTTTGTCACCAACAACAAATTTACTCTGCCTGGGAATGGATTTCAGTCAAACATGACCAAAGGCCAACAGGAAGCTGAGAAACACAGCCAAATGCACACACACACATGCACACACACACACACACACACACACATGCACACACACACACACACACACACACACACACACACACACACAAAGAAATGCCTACCATCCAAACCAGCTAACCAAACAGGAGTTCAAAGATACAGAACGGACGGATACCTGTCACACTGCACAGTGGTCAATGTGGTTTTAGCCATGGCCAACCTCACCTGGTGCAGCGCAAAAGATATTTTGAGAGAACCAAGAGTCATATGACATTTTCTATAGAACACTGTCTTAACCGTTCTATTGTGTCTAATTTACAACTTTAACTGTCAGATGTATGTGCTGGGAAAGCCTGAGCACAGAGTCCGGTATTAGCTGCAGTTTCAAGCATGTACTGAGTCAGGCAACATGGCATCATGTCCCTCAGACACATGGAGGGCTGGAGGACTGCACGTGTAAACACAGGACAGTGCCTTAAAACAGGCATGGGGCTGGAAAGGTGACTCGGTAGGTAAGAGCATTTGCTGCCCTCGCAGTGAGGAGATTCTGTTCTCAGCACCTATGTGGTGACTGGCAACGGTGTGTAACTCCAGTCCCAGGGGATCTGACTCCCTCTTTGGTCTGCCTGCATGTATGTGGTGCACAGAAACACACACAGGCAAAGCACCCAGACACACAAAGTAAAACCAAGTCTTTTTTTTTAAAGACACATTTTTAACATTATACAAGCAAGTCAGTGTGAATGAAACACATCAACACAAATCACTACACTGACCAATTGTGACAACAGAAATGGAAGCAATGGTGATATAGGTCTTCTCGAAGTTGGATGTAGTGGGGCATTCATGTAATCCAAGCTTTCAGTAAACAGGAGCCCCAGGAGTTCAAAGCCAGCCTAAGCTACATAGCAAGTTCAACACTAGCCTTGGTTACATGAAATCCTATATAAAATAAATAAATAAGCTTTTTAATATCTAGAGCCACATTAGCATGCCTATTAACACCACAAAACAGAACTTAGGAAGGCAGGAAGCCCTGTGTGGCTTTATGGGACATAATGACTAGACTGTGCCCAGCAACCCATGCAGTGTGAGATCCTCCAGGGCCTAGCCCACAGGGAAGAGGCAAGCCTTTCCCCCTGCCAACACTGGGTGAGCTGAGTTACCCCAAGTCTAAATCATCAACCCAAGTTTCTCCCTTGAGTTCACACCCGAGGCTGACAAAGTTCCTTCAGGCCTCCACATCATACCTAGAATGGTAATCAGGAACCCATCCTGGACCACCTGTCACCAAGACCAGGTCTCGCTGTTTCTCACCTAAATGATTAAAAAAAAATCAATGAAATCACTTAGTGCATCTGTCCTCAAACTGGAGGTGCCCTAAGACCATCAGAAAACACATATATTTCATGAGGATTCATAGCAGTAACAACTTCAAAACAACTCGAGGAACTGCATTAAAGGGTGGAAGCATTAGAAGGTTGAGAACCACTGGCTTGGTGGGTAAAAGTGCTTACACTCAAACCTGTTGATGCCCGGAACCCATGTGAGAAGCAAATCCCCAAAATTGTGTTCTTGTTCTCCCTCCCTCCCTCCCTCCCTCCCTCCCTCCCTCCCTGTCTCTCTCTCTCTCTGTCTCACACACACACACACACACACACTAAAGGTCTACTGATTTTCTTGGTTCCTCCAATCAATCTGCCACCAATCTGATTTTTCTAAAATTGCAATTTGGACATTTTACTCCCTTAACATACTTCAAGGGCTCCCTGACACTTGCAGATTTAGCCAAAATGTCTTGGCAAAGCCATTCAAAATTTAGTCTCTGGTTACCTTCCCCAATTGCCCCATGTATCTTAACATGCAATACCCAGATTTGTTGTCTTCTCACACCCACCTCTAACCTGTCTGCAGTGACTCTGCCCACACCCCTTCCCGGCCCAAAGCAGGGGTCACTTTGCCAGAGACACCTTTCGGAGAAACAAAGCTACTGTTTGTGTGTCATCCAAACGAGTACATAGAGTAACTATCACCATCAGTGCTTTCTGTTATCACCAGGCATCTAACACAGGATGCCTCTGCCGCAGCACACAGCCCAGGCTCCAGCCTTGTAGACCATTATAAAACAGTTATGAGGGCTCGTTTAAATAAATGTCAGTCCACAACTGATTGACAGAAGCACAGAGTCATGGAACTTTGGAGCTGACAGGACACAAATGCTATGGAATGTTTTCATGTCATTGCATAACACAGGTTAAAAAAAATCAAAAATTGAACAAACAAAAATGCGGAGCCTGGACTGTCACTTGACTCCAACCTCAGGCGACCACACCCAGCCTCTGCTGCAGCTGGAGACCGTTCCAGACTCTAGGTCGCTCACACCACACCCACGGAAGCTGCTGCAGTCATTTTACTTGAAGGGAGTCTCGAGAACCACCACCACCACCCCCACGAAAACGCGCACACAGCTGTAACTTCTGCGTGCTTTCTGGCTCTTGTTCTCCTCCATCCTCATCCCGGCTCACGGAATCGTTCATTTAGGGATCACCTACTCTTGAGTCTTTCTGTAGCCAACACTGAGGTTCCTGTCTCCAGAAGCGCGTCTACGCGGGCGGTGGGGGGGTGGACGACAGTCACACCAACTCAAACCAACCAGAGGGGCCGCGCGTAGGCGACTCTCCGTTCTCCAACGGCCCTACCCCTTGACCTCGGTGCCCTGGCCTGCCGCCCTCCCAGCCAGCCTCAGGTCTCTCCCCGCTGCGCTGGGCAGGGTGCTGCTAGTGGTGCAGAAAGTTGGGCCTGGGGCTGAGATGCGCGCGGGACTCGGGCACCTCAAGGCCCGGGACTCATCCTTCTTCTACCACCCGGGACAACGGAGCAGCACCGGAGCGGCGGCGGGTAACTGGTTCATCCCTGCAGCGCCCCTCCCCGCCCGGAATGCACAGGGACTCGGGGTAAGGGAGCCTGTGAAATAAATACCTTTGACTTTGTGGCTTAAGGTTAACGGGAACTGCTACCCAAGAAGCGACTTGGCCACCGGGATCCGGGCCACGGCCAGTCCAGGGGCAGACGGGCGGGCGGCGCTCGTGATTGGCTGGCTGCCCTGCACCACCCCGTCTATGGATTGGCTGTACGGCTCAGATGACACTCCTGGCCCTATCGGAGCAGCCGGAGGGGCGGCCCCTTTGTTCTCCGGAGCCAATAGCCAGGGTCTGACCTCGCCCGCGGAGTAGCATCCCAGAGAGGTGAATCTGAGTGTTATGCACTGCTGGGCTAGGAACGGTGGTCTCTGGCGTCCTGTGCTGGGCGACATTACGTCGTTGCTGCTCCCCCATCCACCGGGTGCCTTTGAGCACTCTGCCTCCCTCACAAGAGCGCGTTGACATCTGACCTCGGAACGTAGGTGCAGGGTGGTCCCGCAGCAGATAGTATTCCCAAGGTGTCACTGGTGTCCCTGGTGGGAAGCTATCGCGGACCACATAGAAATCACCACTCTTAGGAGTCCTCTCGACAATATGTCCACTTTAGTGTGACCCTTTTTTTGTTTACTCCCTGAAAGCGTGTTCAGGTGGCACTGCACACGTCCACCTGCACGCATTGCAGGACTCTCGTACCTGATGAGTGCAATGAGCCATCGCCAGCACCTCAGCCGATCAGTCATGATAAATGATGTTTGGTGCTGTCTGAGCGTGGCCTTGGAAAGTGTTGCGCTTGGGAGAGCTTTTTCTAGCTGAAGAAACAGGTCTGAAGAGTTTACCTTACTGCACGCACACTAGGGTTCAGTTGAGTGAAATATCTTCAAGCTGCTAACTGATTCCAGACTGCCATGGAGGGTGATCGTTTCCCAAACACCTCCAGGAAAGTTTTCATCTCCACCCTCTTCCAGCCATCTGAAATGAATTCCTCCCGCTACTGCCTTGGTTGGGTCACAGCTGGGTAAATCCTCTCACTCCCGCCTCGGGAATCACAGTGGGGTCAACTGGAGAGAAATTGCATTTTCTCTCTAGAGCTACTTTGAAGCTGTATTTGGAACCAAGTTGGATGGATTCCTGCGACCCCTGCCATGGGATCAATCTGCAACTAATCAATCTGGGCTTGTTCTAGGCCCAGCTACTGCCCAGTTCTTAAGCATAATGGAAACTGAGACAGAATTCCTACCAATTTTCTCAATAACGTCACCTGTAGTAATCACGAAAGAGACTTTTCTGTTTCTGGACTTTGATGTATTCGCTTGTGAAACATGGATAATTTTCCATCTGCTTGTGTATCTTTCTGGATTTTCACTCCTACCTCTCAGAGCAGCATTCTGGTTCCAGGTCTTCCATCAGCTAGTGTGACCTTGGAACGGCAAGCAATTCCACTCTAGACTGACAGTCTCCAGAACGATATTCCAGGACCAAGGCTGTTGCAGGGGTGCAAAGATTGAAGCACATCTGGGAGTCTTTCCTATTAAGCAAAAGCAAGGCAGCTAAAAATTCAAAAAATGAAAGGGCTCGGGGAAAACACTTCAGACTTAAGGTATTAAGAGAAAGAGGGGCCAGGAGTTATATTTTAAAAACATAAAGAGAAGTTGCACATGATTATGCTTGCTGGGAATCCCAGTACTTGAAAGGTAAAGTCCAGAGAATCAGTAGTTGAAGGCCAGCAACCTACCTTACATAGTAAGTTCAAGGCCAGCCTGGAGCTATGTGAGATCCTGGCCCCCCTCAAAAAAATCAAACTATGGATGTGTTAATACTCATACATACATATATATATACACATACAAGGAGAGTCTGCATCATAAAACTTATGCATATGTGCATGGGGCCGTGCATGGGAAGGCCAGAGGATTGGTCTGGAACTTCATCAAGTAGCCTAGGGTGGTGATTGGCAAAATACTGGGATCTCACGACTTGTGGCATTACAATTGTGAGTCACCATACTTAGCTTTTCACATGACCTCTGGGAGCCAAACTCCAGTCCTCACACTTCAAAGAAATATGTTCCACAAACGGAGACATCTCCCCAGCCTCAATATCTTATAAGCAAAAGCAGCACATTAATTTAAGTTTTGATATGTAGTGGTGGTCAAGAGTGGAAGGGGGAGCTGGGGAGGGGGCTGACCAGTTAAGAGCACTTGCTGCTCTTGCAAGACTTGGGTTTGCTTCCTGGAGCTCACAGGGTAACTACAGTTCTAGGAGGTCTAATACCCTCTTCTTCTCTGGCCTCCACGGATACCAGGTACACACATGTACACAGACATACATGAAGGCAAACACACACACACACACACACACACACACACAAGAGCAGATAGACTTGAGTCTCGGTCAGCTTCTAGTAACCAGCATTACAGGATCGTGTGCAAGTGTTTGCATGAATTTAAAGGGAGAAGAAGAACATCCAGGGCAGCCTATCAGGTGGGTTCTGGTAGAACTTCTTTTTTAAGATTTTTATTTATTATGTATACAGCACTTCATGCATGTCCGCAGGCCAGAAGAGGGCACCAGATCTCATTACAGATGGTTGTGAGCCACCATGTGGTTGCTGGGAATTGAACTCAGGACCATTGGAAGAGCCATCTCTCCAGCTCCTGGTAGAACTTCTTAGCAAAGTCCATTCACAAAAAGTTACTTATTCTTATGCACCACTCTGTATAGGGACTGACACGGAGATGACAGGCAAGATGGCCTATTGGCACCCAGTGAGACTAGCACTCAGCTGTGTGTATGAAACTACCAGTAACAGACCTGCATAATGCTAACCAGAGACCGTGCCAGACAGACCAAACTAGCCCCTTCTCTCCTTAGGGATCCTGGTGACTCTGAGTGCATGTCTGTGTGCATCCGTAATCAGTGTTGGGGTGTATATTAGCTGAAAGCTATCTTTGCTGCTCAAAACACCTCTTTTCCCAGAGACTCCTTTTCATGACAACAGCCTGACAAAGCTGCAGATAACCAAAGTATGTAAAACTCACCAGCCTTCAAATGAGGCTCTTGGTGATGTAACATGAAGGCTGAAGTGGGAAGAAAAACCATGAGTCTCGGTGTAAGCATTTCGACAGATTGGGATTGGACAGGGATTCTGGCACTCGGGAGTCACAGAATACTGTGTGTTACAGCTTGGATAGAAAGGTATTCTGGCTGGGCGTTGGTGGTGAACGCTTTTAATCCCAGCACTCGGGAGGCAGAGGCAGAGGCAGGCAGATCTCTGTGAGTTCGAGGCCAGCCTGGTCTATAGAGCTACTTCCAGGACAGCCTCCAAAACAATACAGAGAAACCCTGTCTCGAAAAACCAAAAAAAAAAAAGAAAGAAAGAAAGAAAGAAAGAAAGAAAGAAAGAAAGAAAGAAAGAAAGAAAAAAAGGTATTCTGGCCATCGGGAGCCAAGGAACACCACAGGTCACAGCAAACACAGCAGCTTACAGCCCTGCTTCAGGGAAAGGCTTCCCCAGTGTATCAGCTCTGCTCCCGTAGGAGAGGGCTTCTCCAGCTCCAGAGAATGGCTTCTCCCCCAGCCAAGTTGTTTAGCTGACAAAGTTGTTACAGTTCGGTTCTGGTCCTGGGTAGAGTGGAGTGTAACAACTCCGCTTTGCCAGGGGAAGGTTTCCCTGGCGAAAACTGTTACAGCCCTGCTCTGCTCCTTTCAGGGTCATTTCTGCTCCAGAGAAAGAAGGTCTCACCCACACCTCATTCACCTCAGATTTACTGGGAGGGAGGAATCCAGGAGAGTGGCTGCCCTCTGCCAAGGTAGTAGAAGGCCCAACAGCCAGAAGCTGAACAGACACCAGGTTTATATAGGGCTTCTTAGGGGTGGAGTTTTGCAGGAAGACTTCCAGGGTCAGCTTTCAATCCCTGATCAGAATGGCTATATTTCACAAGCTTGTTTCTAACTTAAATAATTTTTAAAAATCATATATATATATATGATATATAAATATATATATATATATATATACACACACACACATATATATATATATATGAATGGCTAGATCTGCTCAGGGGTTGGTTGGTTTTCTGTACAGGTTTAGGGTCAGATTTGGCTCTGGTTTCAAGGTCAAAGTGTGTTTCTTGAACTGGTCCTTTTAGCCTTTTGGCTCTAACTTTAGGACCAGCGTATATTTCTTTCACTGGCTCTGATTCCAGGAACAAAGTGTGTTTCTTTGGCACTGGTTTCGGTGTCAGGATGCATTTCTTTGGTTCTGGTTGCAGGGCCAAAGTGTGTTTCTTTGGCTGGTCCTTTTCCCCTACATTTGGGTTCAACATTCCAAGGCCTTGATTCCAAAATAAGCACCCTTGTTCTCTGGTGCTCTTGCCCACCACCTGAATTTACTCAGGCTCAGGTACGTCTAGCTCTGCCTCCAGTAAGGACTGGGAGGAGAATATAGAGGAACTACAGCTGCTGTCAAAGCCCCCAGCCTGACTCCTTTTCAGTAAACAGTCGTGTTCCTTCCCCATCACCACGGCTCCCACAGAAAAGAACACGGCCAGTCACTAGTTCTAAAACCAAATCTTTATTCTCTAGTTTGAAAAGGAGGGTAAATGGCTGTTCTGTTTCGATTCAGAGAACAAAACAAGACCCAGTGGGCAGAAATCATAGGAAAGCAGAATCCAATCATTTTAAGTAAGGATTTCTAACCATTAGAACACCCTACCATAGAACTAGTGCATCTGGTGGTAAGAGCTCGCCAGCACCAGGTGCACGGGTAGAGCCTGGCATCCACAACCTGGAAACCTTAAAAAGGAAATCTACCCAGGACCTTCCCTGCAGTCAAACCCTCAGCATTTGTGGGCTGGTCTTTCCCAGAACTCCTGAAGCACTGGAGAGAGTTGGGGAGGGCTAGGGGTTTAAACAAAACCACCAGGGAGGCCCTATACTCGGGGAGAGAAGGCAAAAAAAGCCAGGCAGGTGAAGGAGTAGATAAATGTCCTGGAAGGATAACCTGCAAGGAGTAGATGGAGTTGCTAACCATAGACGGGGCACTACACATCTGGGTACCTATGCAGGAGGCATTGCAGACGGGTTCTAGTCGAAAAAGAAGAAACAGCTCAGCTTCACCTGTCCTGCTGTATAACAAGGCCAGCAGGTTCGCCAAGGTGTATCCAGCTGGCACACTTTCCCTGCCCCAGGGTTCATTCACTAATGACTATACCACACCTACTTCCAAAAAAATGACCTGAAGTAACTCATAGTAAAGACTGGGACATTAAGGCGTTAACACCAGAGGATGGAGTGGTTCCCTTCCCACTGGTGGCTCCTCTAGCCAAGGACTCAAAGGGTAGATGGAGCTGCTATTGCTACTTTTCCAGGGTACAGGCCAGTCTGAGTTGACCCTTAGAAAACCTAGCTGGGGACCGGCTAGCTCAAAGCCAGGCCCCTGCATTCTAAAATCGGCTCCCTGCCCCCCTGGGGAAACTCCATTCCTAAACAGAGCCCAGATCACTCACTCCACCTCCCCTGTCCCTCTGGGATCCCCACCTGTCCCTTCAGCAGCGTCAGTGTAGGCACCCCACACGGGCCCGCTGCCACACTGTTGCCAAGGACATCCAGGCCTGCTCTCCTCGGCCTACCGCCCCTCCTAGGCATCGTGCTTCTTCTGGTGCATCAAGAGGCGATCCTCATCGTCAAAGGTCTGACCACAGATGGCACAGCAGAAGGCGCCATCCCGGATGTGGCTTTTCCGATGTGTGATAAGGTTGGACTTCTGGCTGAAGCTGCGGTCACAGTCGGGGCAGGCGTAGGGCCGTTCACCCGTGTGGATGCGCCGGTGCGACACTAGGTTGGACTTCTGACTGAAGGCTTTGCCACAGTCTGGACACACGTACGGCTTCTCGCCAGTGTGGATGCGCCGGTGTGCAGCCAGGTAGGGCTTGTGGCGGAAAGCCTTGCCACAGTCGGGGCACACGAAGGGCCTCTCTGGCGCATGATCGCGCCGGTGCGCTGCCAGGTGGCTGCCCTGTGAAAAGCGGCGCCCACACTCCTCGCAGGCAAAAGGCCGCTCACCTGAGTGCACGCGCGAGTGAGCTACCAGGTGTGTCTTCTTGCCGAAGTTCTTGCCACACTCGGGGCAGGCGAAGGGCCGCTCGCCTGTGTGCTGTCGCTGGTGCAACCTCAGGAAGCGCTCCAGCCGGAAGCTGCGGCCACAGTCCGCACAGTGGTGCAAGGGCACAGACGCCTCGGCCGGGGCCAGCGGGGACCCCAGGGAAGCCCCTAGTGCAGGCTGCACCATGGGCTCCTTTGCAATCTGGGGGCTCCCTGTGCCGGGGGGTGCCTGCGCTGAGACCTCCGAGCGTTTGTGGATTTTGCTGTGTGACAACAGGTTGGGTTTGTGGCGGAAGCGGCGGCCACATTCTGAGCATGGGTAGGGCTTCTCGCCAGTGTGAATGCGCCGGTGGGAAGTTAGGTAGGGTTTGTTGGTGAAGCGCTTCCCGCACTCTGGGCACTGGTGTGGTCGCTCGCCAGTGTGCACACGGCGGTGGGCAATCAGGTTGGGCTTGTGACGGAAGCGCTTGCCACAGCAGGCACACTGGAAGGGCCGGTCAACAGCATCTCCACCTGGTCGGGGGGCAGTCACTGCGGGACGGCCCCGGGGCCGGGGACCCAGGGCCTTGGCTGCTGCCTCCTCCAGGGCCTCGGCAACGTGCACACGTTTGTGAACAACCAGCTGATCCCACTGGGCAAAGCTCCTGCCACAGTTGCCACATATGAAGGGCCTGGCCTCAGGAGCAGGGGGATGGCACCTCCGCAAGTGAGCTTGAAGCTGCTTTTGTCGCCAGAAGCGCCTGTCGCATTCAGGACAAATGATAGGCCACTTTGCAGCTGAGTGAGCCCGCAGGTGCAGTACTAGCGCTACCCAGCCTTGGAAGTTATGCCCACAGAGGTGGCAGGTGAAGCCCACGTCAGGGATGGCAGAGGCATGAACCTGAAGGTGCAGCGCTAAGAAGGGGGCGTGGCGAAAGCGCTGGTTGCACTCATGGCAGGGGAGCGGCAGCCGGGCCTGGCAACGCCGAGTGTGAAGCCACAGGGCCACCCAGCCCGGGAATCGCCTCCGACAGTGGGCACAACGATGGACCTGGCCTGGGACTTGGCCTCCTGACTGAGTTACTGACTTGCCCTGGTGCTTCAGCCCTCTGTTGGGCTGAGAGGACTCTTGGGAGGGCCCAGAAAGGAGGCTGGGCTGGGCTGGGCCCATAGCCATGGTGCCCCTGTGGCAGCGCCGTTCCAGCATCAGGTCTTTCTCTGCTGAGGGTGGAAAAGCACAGTCACTGCAGGAACTAACCCCAGTTTCTCACTTTTTTTCCCAAGGAAGAAAAAAGCTTCCTCTAGGAACTGCAAGCACCATTCTATTCTAAATGAGTTTGTAAATAACATTTCAAGGATCTTTATACCTTTATTGCCCTGGAAACCTCCAGAAGGGAGACATGCTGACACTCATTGGGGTTCTCACAGGGTTATCTACCCCACTGTCAAGAAGACTTACAGGAAATACTCTTGCATCTACCTACTGTGCCTCATCTATTCCAAAACTCCCCTTACACTTCCTTCTACCACATCTGAGCTCCCTTCTGGACACATGAAGGAAGAGTGGGCTTCAAACGGTGGTAGCACATGCCTGATGTGACACTGTAAACCACTAGCAGACCAGAGGGGACACACACACACACACACACACACACACACACACACACACACACACGTGCGCATACACGCGTGCACGCGCGTGCGCGCTCATGTGTGCACAACAGTCTTGTGAACCCCTGGCCAGTGTGTGTTCCTCTTAGCACCAAGGTGTGAAAGACCTCAAAAACCAAAAGGCTAAAGCTTTGAGGAAGGTACTCCTCTCCCTCCCCTCTAAGCCTGGAGGACAAGTGAGAACAGCCTTTCATCAGAACACCAGGGGAGCAAGGTGCCTCTCTAGCACAGACTAATGCCAGACTGCCCACATTCTGCCTACAAAGCCCTTGTCACCCACACCCAAGCAACGGCAAACGGGACACATGGGGGGGGGGAGTGCTTCTCAATCCACAGTCTGCTGCAGGGGTAGGAAGGGGAATCCCTGGCTCAGCATCTCTTAGGGGTGCTACTGATTGTTGGGGTAAGGGAAGGGGAGGGGAGGGAAGAAGAGACTGGGATCTCTGTCCCTTGCCTGGTCCTGCCCAAACCTGGCCAAGGACTGCCCTGTGTTCCGCTACACCACAGCAGGGGAGCCCAGATTCCAGAGAGCCTCCAACACAGAATAGTGGGGTAGCACTGAGACTCCCCAGGGAGCTTTCATGTCTGATCACAGGCTCTGTCCAGGCACAACCTCCTGGACTCCTTTTTTTGGGGGGGGGCTACCGACATGACTCACCCCTGCCCCCACTGGCTGGTTGAACCCAAGGATGACTTCATTCCGCAGTAAGCTCCTTTCCTGCCTATAAGGGAGACCTGAGCTTTGGAGTTTTGGGTTGGTTTGAGGACACAGGAAAGGCCAGACTCTACCCTGGAGACTGCAGAGCTGGGGAATGAGGCTTTTTCCAGCTCCTTCCTGGGGATGTTCCTGGGGATACTTCTGCTGCAGAGCCTGCTTCGGCCCGCACTCTGGAAGCCCCCCGGATGTCAGGGAAAACTAGCACTAAAGACATCCCTATCCCCGTGGCAGAGCTCAGACCTCTAACTGCAGAAGAGGTCAGCCTTACCTGGGGAAGGGAGAGAACCTATGAGAGGCTCTGCGCTCATCACCCAGTCCCTCCCCCATTCAAAGCCACGGGCTTCATATTCAGCCTTAAGCTCTACAACCCCAGCCTGGCAGAATGACCTACCGGACACAGGACTAAAAGCATAACTATGGCCCTACAGTGCTGCCTTTTGGGGACCGCCTCCTAGCCTGGTTGGGTCACAGAAGAATTCTTGATCTGTGGCAAAGATCGTTCTCGGTGGCCAAAGGCCGGCCTAGGCAGCAACTCTGGAATCCCTGCTGGCTCCCCCTCTCCCCCACCCCACCCCACTCTCCTCGAAACAGAAATTCCAGGCCTGTTTCCCCGAGGGTCTGCGCAGGGCGCACCAGTGTGCCCCAGGACTCCGGCCGGGATCCCCAGGGTGACAGCAGGCACACACACACACACACACACACACACACACACACACACACCACACCCCTTTTGTATTGGTGCGTGTCCTCTGTCCACGTTCGCTGGCACGCTGCACCGGCTCCTACGAGGGAGCGGGCCATCTCGTGAGTTCCACGCACAGCGCAGCCCGCGGAGCCTGTGCGCAGGTGCGCTCGCCCTGCGCCGCAGCACTCCGCCCTCCGCACTCCCACAACCCCCCAATCCACCCCGCGCGAGCGCGCGGACCCCACAGTCGCCCACACTCGCGGTCACGCGCGCCGCGGGTGAAGCTGCCCCCCCCCGCGCGCGCGCGCCCTCGGTGGTCCCCTGTGGCCCCTGCTCGGGCCATACCTCTCCCGCGTGCCCTGCGGGGACGCGGCACCGATCCATGAAGCCCCAGGCCGCCCTCTACGGCCCGCTCCCCGCCACGCCGCGGCAACAGCGGCAGGTTCGAGTTCACAACTGCCAGGCCCGTCCCCAACCTCCCCCTCTCCGGGTTCCCAGCGCCACGTGACTACAGGAGCTGCGGAGGGTCAGTCTCGGCTGGGCGGCCGCGGCCTGGGGGCGGGGCGGGCCAGGTCACCGGTGCGTCTCAACCTCCCGGGGCGCAAGGCCGAGGAGGGTGCCCCCGCCCGCTCCGTTACCATGGCAGCAGCCATCAGCTCGCGCTTTGGCAACCGGCCCGGAGCTCCAGTTTCACAACCCTCTGTCCCTGCGAAGGACGCTCGCCTGACCAGGCTGTGGTCACTGCGTCTGGCCCACCTGCCACTGGCTTTTTAAAGACACAGAGCCTGAGAGGACTGGGCAGGACACCGACGGTTCCCCAGGCGTCGAGTCCAGAGCTTTGCCCAGGCCGCTCCAGCTTGGGGCTGCTGCGGGGCAGTCGCTCACCAGAGCCGCAGAGCCCATGGCAACGCAGCGCACTCCGCACGCACCCGGAATGGCCAGCGACTGAGAACTCTCTCTGCCGGGCCCTCTGTTCCCACAGCTAAGATCCGGAGTTGCCGGGCCCAGGTGGCTCTTGGCACAAGTGGGTCATTTACACTTGGAAACGCAGCAGCAGCCAGTGTGGCGTCTGCGGGGGCAGGTGCAAGCCTGCGGTGATGACTCACCCACTAGCAGGTGGCCTTGGCTTTGCAAAGGAACCCCATCTTGGAGCTTCCAGACCAGTGCAGTTTCGTGCCCTTTCATGCTTTCAACAGGGACAAGTTTTGAGTTGTACATTATTTTAAAAGCATTTTTGAAATCTCTCCCACGTGTAGGAAATAAAGAGCCATCTAGCTCTCTCATATGTTAGCCTCCTAGAGTCAATTACATTCCGTATTTTGACATACTCCGATGTTCTGAGTAGCATTTTATGTTGGGGTTGCCTGACGTAATCCCTTGCAACTGTATATGCTGGCTCTTCACTTACGATATTGTAAGTTTTCTCCCATTTCATTTTTTGTATATTCTTTCATATATTTTAATGGCTGCATGAATATGCAAATAGATTACAAATTGTTTCTGTATCCGTATAGATTAATGTTTCTTTGTACATGTTCAGTATCAAACTTGCAAACAGATGGTCAAAGACAAGATATATATCTTTAAATGATCTTCCAAGACTTTATTACTTATCCCTGAGAAATACCATTTTTCCATTTCCTTGACAACATGGGCTATTTTCCCAAATTAAAATAACTGTTTTGGTTTCTGTTTCTTGGGTTGCTGGTTTGCTGAATTGTTTCTTCCAGGTGGCTTTTTAAAACCAGTTTATGCTATGACTTTTGAGAATTTGTCCTTTGTTTCAAGGTTGGGAAGTTGGTTTTGTTGTTTTGGGGTTCATGCTTATTAAAGTGTTAATCTGTTGTGTATGTGGTGTATGTCGTGTATTTGATTTTTCCCTTGTACAGTTCCTTTGGCTGGGATGTGAGAACCAGGTCTGTGTAGCCCACACTGGCCTCAAACCCAAACCTAGTATTACAGGCATGCCCACTACACTCAGCAATTTCCATTTTGGAAGTGAGATAATATTGTTTGTATATGCTAAAACCTGCCCATCCTTTTCTTTCTGGTGTTTGCCTTTAGATTTGTGCTTAGAGCATTACCTCCTCCGTCCCCAGTTACATTTTACGTTTATAGTTTCATTGCAGAAAGTGAATTCCCTACAGCAATTCTGTCTTGTTTTAATTTGATTTTCAAAACTTGTCTAGAACACTCCTCTGTTTTTCGGCATGGACTTTAGAACTTGTCAATATTTGAAACCCTGTTTGTGTTGGAAGAGAACAGAGATACGTGCACGCCGTGGGAACAGATGCACTATTTGGGTGACGCTTTGCATCTCACTGTGGAGTCTCTGATACGTGGGCTTTCCCGGATGGTAGAGCTTCCCTTTCAGCAAACGTGGATGGAGCACCTGTGGAGCAGATGTCCAGCACAGTGGTTGCAAAAGACTATGCAGTAAGACCCTTCAGTTCCAACTGTATGTTTCATAGGAAAGCTTAAACCCTCAGGGAACTTAATTTTGTATCCAGTATGGTGATAAATCCCTCTCACTGCTGGGCAGTGTGATAGTGCACACCTTTAATCCCAGCACTCTGGAGACAGAGGAAGGTGAATCTCTGTGTGTTCCAGGTTCAGCCTGATCTACCTCGTGAGTTCCAAGACACACAGGACCACACAGAGAAACCCTGTCCCCAAAAACAAAACAAAAAACCTCTCATTTCATCCCCTCAACAGCCCTTTGAAACTCTCTGGTCCCCATTTTGCAAATGACACAACTGGGCCTTGGAGATATTGGAAGACTGACTGGGGGCCGGACTTCTGCATGGTGGGTGAAGGAAACAGGAGGAGCACTACCCAGTCTCACCGTTAACCACTGCAGATTTAGGGGTTGCAGGAAGGAAGCACCACATGCTGGGCCCAGCAGAGTAAATGTGAAATGTGAAATGCCAATGAGTGTGCAGATCTGATGCCTCCGGATCAGTAGAGTTGATTACTGCATTTTTGCAAGAGCCCCTCCAGCAGAATTCATACACTCAAAGAGACCCCTTTGTCACATCTGTGATCAGCCCCTCTCCTCCCCCTCCCCCCCCCCGTGATTCTTAGCTCATCAACTTTTTTTTTTTTTTTGGTGGTGGTCTTTAAATTTTTTCCTCTTCTTTTTTTTTATTTATTTAAGTTAGAAACAAGTTTGTTTCACATGTCAATCCCAGCTCCCTCTCCCTCCCGTACTCCCCATCCCTCCCCCACCAAGCCCCCCAGTCCCCCATCCAGTCTCCACTCCAATCCCCAGGGAGGGTGAGGCCCTCCATGGTGGATCTCCAGAGTCTGTCATGTCATCCAGGGCAGGGCCTAGGCCCTCCTTCAAGAGTCCAGGCTGAGAGAGCATCCCTCGTTGTGGAATGGGCACTCAAAGTCTATTTGTACGCCAGGGATAAATACTACCCAAGGCCCCATGGATTACCTAGGCCTCCTCACGGACACCCACTTTCAGGGATTCAGGGAGTCTGGGTCAGTCCCATGCTTTCCACACAGCCATCAATCTGGGGCCCAAGAGCTCCCCCTTGTTCAGGTTAACTGTTTCTATGAGTAAAACCAGCCCAGTCTTAACTCCTTTGCCCATCAATTCTCCCTTTCTGACACTGGATCCCAGGAATTCAGTGTTTATCTGTAGGTATCTGCCTCTGCTTTCATCAGTCACTGGATGAAGGTTCTGTTTCCCAGACTCTCTGGCAATGGGATTGTTTGCTGGCACTCCCCTGATTCATGTCTAAAATCCATAAATGAGTGAATACATACCACATTTCTCTTTTTGTGACTGGGTTACCTCACTCAGGATGGTTTCTTCTAGTGCCATCCATTTGCCTGCAAATTTCAAGATTCCATTATTTTTTCCACTAAATAGTACTCCATTGTATAAATGTACCACATTTTCTCTATCTGCTTTTCAGTTGAGGGGCACCTAGGTTGCTTCCAGGTTCTGGCTATTACATATAACGCTGCTATAAACATAGTGGAACAGACATCTTTGTTGCATGAATGGGCATCTTTTGGGTATATGCCTAAGAATGGAATTGCTGGGTCTTGTAGTAGACTGATTCCCATTTTCCTGAGGAATCTCCATACTGATTTCCAAAGTGGCTGTATGAGTCAGCACTGCCACCAGCAGTGGAGGAGTGTTCCCCTCTCTCCACATCCTCTCCAGCATAAACTGTCATTGGAGTTTTTGATTTTAGCCATTCTGACAGGAATAAGATGGTATCTCAGAGTTGTTTTGATTTGCATTTCCCGGATGGCTAGGGATGTTGAGCACTTTCTTAAGTGTCTCTGAGCCATTTTAGACTCCTCTACTGAGAATTCTTTATTTAGTTCTGTACCCCACTTTTTAATTGGATCCTTTGGTGTTTTGGAGACTTGCTTCTTGAGTTCTTTGTAAATTTTGGAGATCAGTCCTCTATCAAATGTGGGGTTAGTGAATATCTTTTCCCAATCTGTGGTCTGCCTTTTTGTCTTGCTGGTTGTGTCCTTTGCCTTACAGAAACATATCAGTTTCACGAGGTCCCATTTATTAATTGTCGATCTTAGTGTCTGTGCTACTGGAGTTATGTTCAGGAAGTGGTCTCCTGTACCAGTCTGTTCAAGGTGCCTCCCACTTTCTCTTCTAACAGGTTCAGTGTGGCTGGATTTTTATTGAGGTCTTTGATCCATTTGGATTTAAATTTTGTACATAGCAAAAGACATAGATCAATCTGCAGTCTTCTACATGTCAGCCTCCAGTTATGCCAGCACCATTTGTTGAAGATGCTTTCTTTATTCCATTGTATAATTTTAGCTTCTTTGACAAAGATCAGGTGTTCATAGGTGTGTGGATTAATATCAGGGTGTTGGATTTGATTCCATTGGTCTACCTGTCTATTTTTGTGCCAGTACCAAGCTGTTTTCAGGACTATAGCTCTGTAATACAGCCTGAAGTCAGGGATGGTGATGCCTCCAGATGTTGCCTTGTTGAACAGGGTTGTTTTGGCTATCCTGGGTCATTTGTTTTTCCATATAAAGTTGAGAATTGTTCTTTCAAGTGACGGGAGATGCCATTTTGTAAACCTGTCTCTTATTGGTTGTTGAATAAAGCACAGTTGGTCAATAGGGAAGCAAGATAGGTGGGACTAGGAGTCAAGGGGGATTCTGGGAAAGAGAGGCAGAAAGAGACACCATGTAGGTGCCAGAGGAGTAAGAGGTCCGGACTCTTTTCTTCGGTAAGAAAATACTTATATTAACAATTATGGGTTAAATACTTAAGTCAGAGATAGCCAGTAAGAAACCAAACAAATGGCCAATAGCTTCATAATTAACATAGTGTCCTGTGCGTTATTTGGGGGTTCAGACAGCGCGGCAGGGCCCAAGGCGACTGGCAAGGAAGACTACACTCTGCATATGGTTGTCAGGAGTGGGACTGAATTTCCACGTAGAATGACAAAAGCTTAAAACATTCTAAAAACAAAAGAACGGAGAGAAGCACAGCTTCTTGGTAGCAGCATTTTTCTCAGGTGGGCTCTGTTTTGCTAGAGACAAGCAGAGACTCACATGAACTGTACTAAAGGCCTGCAGCATTAGGAAGGACCACAGCCCTAAACCATTCCTTTTCTTCATAGCCCCGGAGGAAGTACATTGTCTCCCCCACCACCACCCTCATTCTGTAGATACTACCTGTACTGTTTTTCTCAATAAAAGAAACCAGAGTACCAGCCTTGATTCAGCAGGGGGAAGTACATGGTAGGGACTTGGGAAGGGATTCCTGAGCCTTTGTACTGATCAGAAATGTAAATTCTTAGAGTTAGGGCCTGTACAGTGTCAGAGGTAGAAACACACAGTCCATCAACCAGCCAAATGGTCAAGAGATTTAGCCTAATGTAGAAATCCCAACTTTCATTATGTTTACTGGAGCAGGCTCTTCAAGAAGAGAAAATAAGGGCCAGACCTGGCTAAGGGCCCACTGGAGGACCCTTATGTTCTCTTCTTGAAGAGTCTGGTCTTTGTTTTGAGTTATATGCCAGCTGGAGGATGAAAACTATGTCTCTAGAGACCCTGTC